CGTCTAAAAATTAACCAAAATGCTAAAATTTCGAAGATTTCAATAGTTTAGCATGACTTAATGATGCTAGTACCCAATGCAAAAATAGTCCATATTTATATAACAGAAGTATTCTTCTTTCCAATAAATAGCTAAAAATTGACATTTTAGCAAGTTTGTAAAACTGCTATATTTTGGGGCCAAAAAGGGGTCTTACTGGGCCTACTCCTTTCAGACCAGGGCAGTCACTTCCTGTTTTACAATACTTTTAATTTTTATTAAACTAGTTTAGCAATGAAAATTTTTTCAATTTCTGATAAAGAGTGGGGTTTACTATGCACTATGTACAACACTGTTTAACTTTTCATAATTTTTAAAAGTTGAAATACAAATTATAAAGGTGAGAGAGTTTTGAATAAGAAAGTACAAAGTTGAAAGTTAAACATTATATCAAATCATATGATAATTCAATGGCTATCTATCAAATGTTGCCCCTTATACAGTACTAATAATACAGATAATTATTAGTCCTTTCAAGCATGTTGAAGTCTGTTATCAAATGCTAATAGGAAATTTTAATTGCCTTTTACTGGTAAAATGACTTCAATTTAAATAATTGAAATCCTTTAATATACTGCCAGCATATATTCTAAAGGAAAATCGAGTGTATTGTATATCAATTAAAAATGTTTGAAAATATGGTTGGCTTGATTTTATATGTGAATTAATTTCTTATTAATTTTAACATGGCTTATAAACATACAGTAAGTACACTAGTTTATTTTGTCTGTCTTGTGTATTTGTAGTTTGAAATCTATGCATTTGAATGTTTTTAATATGCTAATGGCCAGCTGAATAACTAAATCTCTATAAAGAAATGCTTGCAAAAGTGCCTGTCACAGGTATAGAAGTATCGGGCCAAAGATTTTTCAAATGGTTCAGAGTTGACTAGTATAGAAATAAGGAGATGTGGTATTATTTAGAGATAGCCAAAAATTGTACAAGATTTTATTTTATAGTTATTGAGAAAATATGGCAATAGAAATAATTGAAAAAGTTGTTATTATGAATTAGGGGTATTGTTGGCATATATATTACTATTTGTCAATTTTTGGTTATAATTGAAAGATCTTTTTGGGAATTTGAACAGAATTTTTTGTTTGCACAAAGTGAAGACTGGTATTGACTTGAGGAATTGTTTCTCTGTTCATTTTTACAGCAAATTATACAAAATTTTCCATTTGATTTCAGAGATAATACCGACCAAAAGTGCTGGAATACAATTTTAAGGCTTGCTCTTTAATGATTAATAATTTTGAACATTTTTTCTCAAAGTTACCATGCCATTTTCCCCGGAGCTTATTACCTTTCAAAGTGAAGGAATATACTTTTTACAACCTCTGGTTCCCCTCCCCCAAAAGCAAAAAAGACATTAAAAAAGACATAATTTCATTTTCTCAATTACAAAAAGATTGTATACATCAATTTTTTTGTTTTATTCAGACTTTTTATACGGCCGCAAAAAAATTTTGAGGTCGTATATTGGTATGACGTTGGCGTCGTCGTCGTCGTCGTCCGAATACACAATGGTTTTCGCACTCTAACTTTAGTTTAAGTGAATGGATCTCTATGAAATTTTACCATAAGGTTCAATACCACAATAGGAAGGTGGGGATTGATTTTGGGGGTTATGGTACCAACAGTTAAGGAATTAGGGGCCAAAAAGGGGCCGAAAATAAGCATTTTTGTAACTTCTAGACATAACTTGTGTGTTAGCATATGGATCTCTTTGACATTGTACCACAAGATTCCATATCACAAAGGGTCAATGCTGGGATTGATTTTGGGGTTAATTGCCTCAAAATTTTAGGAATAAGGGGCCAAAAGGGGGCAAAAAACTAGCATTTTTCTAGTTTCATGACAAAAACTTGTGTGTAAGTGTATGAATCTTTCTGAAATTTTACTACAAGGTTCCATTTCACAAAGGGAAAGCTGGAATTGAGTGTTGTGGTAATTGCCCAAAACGTTTAGTAATAAGGGGCCTAAAAAGGGGTTTAAAATAAGCATTTTTTAGTTTCTAGACAATAACTTGTGTTCAAGTGTATGGATCTCTCTAAAATTGTATTACAAGGTACCATACCACAAAGGCAAGGCTGTTATTGAGCTTGGTTTGGGGGGAAAGGGGGGTGGGGGTGATGAATCATAAGGGGGGTGGGGGTCAAAAAAGGGGTAATTTTTTTTTTTCCTTTTTTTTTTGTTTAAAATTTCATTTTAAGTTAGTTATTTTTTATCACGAAGAGAAAGTAGGAATTGAGTTTTGGGGTTAATTGCTCAAACATTTATGAATAAGGGGCCAAATATTGGTTGAAAATAAGGATTTTTTTAGTTTGCAACAAAAACTTGTGTTCAAGTGTATGGATCTCTGTGAAATTGTATTGCAATGTACCATACCACAAATTGAAGGTTGTGATTGAGGTGGGGGATGATGAATCAAAAGGGGGTTGAAAAAATGTGTGGGGGGTAGGATTTTTTTTTTTCCTTTTTTTTTCTTTAAAATTTTCCATTTAAAGATGGTTGTTTCAGATTTATATATGAAAGAAAATAATAATGATACGGTTATATATCATGAGGAATTGAAATTTAAAATTATGTATATTGGAAATTTAGGTTACATTGGAAAGTAATAATTGGCTTGGGGGGGGGGGGGGGGGTTATTGCTCTAATGTTTAAGGAATAAGGGGGAAAAAGGTTAAAAAACAAGGGTTTCCATTTTAATAGACAAATAATTGAGTAAAGAACATTATTTAAAAGCAGTGTAAGGTTGGTAATTCAAACTCATTTAAATATCTCATCTACACTGCTTTTAAATTATGTAAATTGGAAATTTGCCAATAACTTTATTGTTAATAAATGCATTGGAAATTTGCCAACAATTTTAGTGTAATAAACTTCATTGGAAATTTGCCAATATAAAATTTTGCTGATGAAGGTTTTTTGTTTACCTTTAGCCTTGACTATGAAGTCATTTTCTATTTTTATAGCCTTATGATGTAGTTGAATTATTTAATACTTTTATGATGTGTTTAAATGGGGTTTTATCATGTTTATGGTTGCAAATTTATTGTTTTAGTATAATAAACTCCATTTAAAATTTGCCAATAAAAAAAAATTTTGTTTATTTTTAGCTATGATTATGATGTCATTTTCTATTTTACTTTTATGGTTGCAAAGAAATTTTTATTTTTAGATATTACTGTTAAATGATGCTGATTAAGGTTTTTGCTATGTTTAGCCATGACTATGATGTCATTTTCTATTTTAATATCTGTTATGATGTATTTAAATGGGCTTTTATGGTTACAAAGGAATTTTATTTTTAGATATTACTATAAAATGTTGCTGATGCTGATTAAGGATTTTGTTTATTTTTAGCCATGACTATGATGTCATTTTCTATTTTAATACCTTTATGATGTAATTTCCATTTTTAGATATTACTGTTAAATGCTTTTATGGTTACAAAGGAATTTTATTTTTAGATATTACTTTAAATGTTGCTGATTAAGGATTTTTGTTTATTTTTAGCCATGACTATGATGTCACTTTCTATTTTAATACCTTTATGATGTATTTAAATGGGCTCCCATGTATTTAGATTTTTGATTATTTATACATGTTACCAAATTGGTCCACATTGAACAAAAACGGTCCAAATTTCAACTTTATTACATTACATCAAACATTGAATTCTACATATTCTTTGATATATTGAAATTAACAAACAATTTAGTTTATGGAGATTCCACCATAATAGGTAAATTAAATTTTTTCCAGTTCTTACACCACATTCATCCTGTGTCAGAAACCTATGCTGTGTCAAATATTTAATGACAATCCAAAGTCATAGCTGTATCAAGCTTGAATTTTGTGTCCATACTTGCCCCAACTGTTCAGGGTTCGACCTCTGCGGTCGTATCAAGCTGCGCCCCAGCGAAGCATTTTATTAAATATAAATTATGATTAAAGATAATAAATGTATACATCTGCATGTAGATATTTTTCTCTTGTGTGCATGTACAAAGTACTTATACCAAGCCAAATATTCTATGTGTCAGTGAAGTAGAATTGTCTTACTGAATAAAAATAAGAAAATACATATGTTCTGTATGTGAACTAATAGACAAAGAATATGTAATTGAAATGATGTGTTTATTTTATTGCTCATGAAATAGGCATGTGTTTTTACAGTTGAAATTTTCCTGAACATTTAGTTTTCAGTTGCTCATTATAAATCTGCATGTTAGTGGCATTTTTATTAAGAATAAGGCTTAAAAAGCTTTGAATGTTCATTTAGTCGTTATTCCATTCCAAGTTTAAATGAAGAGTTTGAAAATCAGATCTATGAATCCAAGATTTGTCTACATATCCAGACAAGTCAAATGAAAATTTGTTTACCTTGCACTGACCAAAACTGACCAAAATGGCCAGTGGTAGTAGTTATTGCCATAATTTAGTAGCCATAGCTAGTTTGTCTGCCCCTATTCAGATAACATTCCTAATTTTTATCAACTATAAAAGTAGTCCGCGCCAAATTGAAACAAACGTGAGGAATATTGAATTGAAAGGTCCTCCACTTAGAAAGAAAAGAAGATGATGATGATAAAGGTTGTTTTAGATTCTTTTTAGTAAAGGTACCACATTGGCAAAACAGGCTCTTTTGAGCCTAATGTGTGTTTATATTGTATGCTAGCTTCATGCTTTTTAAATTATGTAATATAGTGATTTTAACACATATTTTACTTTCAATTGAACATTGTACCTGCTATTCATGTCTATAAAGGTTAAAAAGGGATAATGATTTATGTGTGTTAAATGCCAATTAGTAGATAATATTCATTTTGGTAATCTAAGACTGATCCTTCTAATTTAAAACTAATGTTCATAATTGTTTGAAAACAATGAAATTAAAAACCCTGAAAAATTTCCCACTTTTTTTTTTAAAACTTCTCATTGATAAGTAACATGTCAAAACAAAATATTTGGAAAAGAAAACATACTAGAACAAAAAGTGACATTTTTATAATTTTTCGTTAGAATGTATAGTTATGATTAATAAGTGGAATGAAAAACATTTGGATTTTATGGGCAGAAAAAATATGTTGGTTCTGTGGTTTTAATGGAGGAATAATTTCAGTTATATGAATATATTACGATTTCCAGACTATGGAGTCATTACCAAAAACATTAATTGAGGTTTTAAACTCTGCTATGAAAGAAAATCAGAATCTGTCATGGAGAATTCATGGCATGGAGGACAAAGTTATTATGAATTTAATGTGGAGTACAAAAACTAATTGTTCAAAAGACGGATTTGCAAACAAAATCCTGGAAAATTCATTGTCGTCCGTAGATGATGGCTATACAACTCTTAGGAGTGAAAATAGTTCACAAACTATTTGCAATTCTGTATTGCCTGTCAAAAATGTTAAAATATCTTATGCTCCAAAGGATGATAGGAATAAAAGTAGTGATCACATAGGAATGTACCAGAGTGATCTTAAATTGGTAGGAATACTGTCCATGATATTTCCAAAAATCCATATTGCTTTAGACAAATTGGAAATTAGTATACTGTAAACCAACTTATTTTCGCAGATACTTAATTTCACGTTTCGCTCTTTCTAGCCCACTTCACGGCGATTAAAGTTCACGATTTTCACATTTTCTTGATGTATTTGAATTAGGAAAGATCCAAGTTTTACATATTTGCAACGATTTATATTAGCGTTATTTTTTACTCGCGAAAATAAATGGCTCGCGAAAAATTAGTTGCTTTACAGTATTTGATTTGATAAAAAATAATGAAAAGAACTAACAATATCAAGAGTTCATAAATCCCTCCATTTTTCCTAAATGAAAAAAAATACAAATATTCATCTATGGTCTTTAGATTCATTTCATACTCAATGAACATGTAGGTCAAAATTATTTTCTCAAAAAGATACCAAAATACCTTCAATTGTTATACTTTGTGTAAAGATACATCAAGTTGAGTATTTCAGCCTCTCATTCTGATCTACGTTCTATGATACTACCCAGTAAATGTCATACAATCATATTATTTGATTGAATGAATGATTGATAGGTTAGTGTCTATTTGCAAATATATATATGTGCATATTCAGGACAAGAACATGTTATTTAATATATAAAGACCTATACTAATTCCATACCATGAGTGAGATTTTTAAAGCCGTAAAAAGGTAAAAGCCAAAGGGACCACTGACCTTCAGCAGGAAAATAAATTAGATATCTATACAACAAAGAATGATTTGAACAGTTAAACTGAATGGACCATCTTATGCAGTGATGAAAAAAATGCCAATCAAAGTCCAAAATAGATTGAGTGCTAGTGTAACATAAAATAATGTCCTCTGTGAAATATTCTGCGTTGTACAAAATTATATAAAATAGTGTCCTTGTCCATTAAATTTTATCTATTCCTTCTGGAAAATATTTCACTATGAAACATTGTCCATGACAATATTTCTTAATCTAAGTATGTCTTCCATGAGAAATCCTCTGCCACGAAATTGTGAGCGTTTCTGGAATTTTGTAATATTTTTCATGAAAAGTATGTGTATAACCATAAATTGCTGCAGAAATTAATTATGCAGGTTTGTTTATCAATCAAATTAAACACTTTGATGATATCATTGTCTAAAATATTAAATGTTTATAACCTCCCTTTCATGAGACAAAATTTCATGACAATCCATCTACATGTATGAAATATTGTCTCAATGTACACAATATATTACCTTGGATAACCTCCCTTTAACTAGACAAAATGTCATACTCTTTCATCTATCAAATATTGTCTGTATATGGACACAATTTGATATGGAGATTTGTCCTTCTCTGGACATTATTTGATAGATAAGGACAACATTTCATGATACAAAGTCATGAAATATTGTCTTGGGGGACAATATTTCATAGGACAATATTTTGCTTTACACTAAACCTTAAAACTTTTCAAACTGCACAGGTTTTTCTGAACTCATTTTACAAGCAATTTAAGAGATGTAAACACAGCCTTATTTGTCCAATTGTTATGATAAATCTGAATTCAAAAGGTAGAATTGAGAGAAAATGTTGATAAGTATTCACAGATTACTCTAGTTTTGGATTAAAACAAATGAGTTAGATTTTCCTTGCATGTGAAATTGATTAGAGTTCAGTTTAGTGGTATTTTTGAACAACAAGTCAATGGTCATATCTTTGTAAGCTATTTTAGGTAGGAAACTGAACCTTTAATAAACCCTGACAATTTTTGGTTCTGAACAATAAAAGGAATGAGACAATTGAGCGTTGATTTATATCTGATTTTATTTACCCTTATTAAAAATTATGATTTTTACAGTTAGATGAATTGAACAGTTCTGATGTAAGTAGACCAAAGGAAGGACCTAAGGAGGGACGTAAACAATTACCACCAATCCCTGATTCAGAGGAAGATATGGCGGGTACACAGAAACAGATCAAAACGGGTATTCATGGATTTGAAAACTTCAAGTTAGAATACTCACTGATGGCTGAGTAGTAAGTATTTCCAGTAATTAAAACTTAGGAATTGTCATGGTCATGCTTTACTTATGTTGATGGATTGACTTAGGTAAGCATGGTAAATTTCAAATTTGATTATAGAATAACTAATCCAAGAATTCTAAGATAGTAAAATATTCAACAAGTGATTAAACAACACATTAATTAATGAGTGTTTGTAGTACATCAGATAATTATCCATGTTTTCTGTCACAGTTGAATATTTTTAGGTACTTGAATTCTTGAATTTAATATTATTTTTTTTTATTGCATTGGCTAAGGACTTTTTAATGGATATAAAGTTCATGGAACTTAATCTTTTCTCTGCACATTCTCAATATTAATTATTAAATGTCATCTACAATAACTTGATAACACCCATTGTTGTATGACGTCAGAGGAGTGAAATTATCAAATTTATTTCACGTGTATGGCAAATTATCAGAATATATTTTACATTGAAATCACGATATTTCATTGCAACCAATTTAATGATTTTAGATATGCAAGCAAAATTACAAAACATGATAAGTTTTCAACAAGTTTATGTTTTTAGACTAAATAAATATTACAATTTATAAATACCTGATTTTAATAAACATTTTGAGATTAACTCACTAAATTCAGATAGACCCCCCACTCATACAAAGTTTATGTTTATTTCAAAGAGATTATAATTGAAATGGTTATTTTTTTTTTTTTTATTATAAACAAAAATAGGACATGTAATTGTGAACAAATGCTCTCTGAATAAAATGTTTTCAGTAGATTTGTCTAATAGATGTATAAATTTATTCTATTTCAGTAAATTGTTGATGCAGCAGAAAATTCCAGGGTGCTATTTGATGCCATCAGCTTTATCACCTCTTAGTAAGTTAAATTCTATGTCTTGATTTCTCCTGTATTTACACTAGTGAAACACATGAAATAGGAAATAACCTGTGACACAGTTTGCTACAGCTATTTTCAGTTTAAATTAGATCTTTCAAATATGCAAATTGTTTTTTGTCATTTTTACCAAATTATTTAAGATTATAGAGGTATGTATTATAATCTATACTTTTAAGTTGAAGGTAATCTTTGGTAACCAACATGCCTTGAAACTGATTCTAGACCATTCCTTTATATTTAAGATATGTACTTCTTTCTTGTATGTTATCTTTGACGGAGCCAAATTAATGGTTCTATAACTTTAAAGGAGTAACACAATGGGTGTCACATGTGGGGCAGGATTAATTAAACCTTCCGAAGCATCTGTGATCACCCCTGGTTTTTGGTGGGGTTTGTGCTGCTCAGTCTTTGTTGATTATGTAGTGTTTTTCAGTTTTTGCTATGGCGTTGTCAGTATCCCTTTGACTTAAGAGTTTTGACATACCCCTTGGTATCTTTGGCCTCTTTTTTACAGCATAGTCATTACAACCCTTGGGATCAATTTGATCACAATTTTTTTTTATATGCATGTGGATAGATAACTGCTACATATGTTATCTTCAGACACATATATAAAAGAATTCAGTCAAATTGTGTAACAAAACTGACTCTGTCTGTCTATAAATACTTTTATTGTAAGCTATTTCTTATCTTGCATCCTTTGTGCTGTCAAGCAAGTTTTAATGATGGCATTTTTTGGAATTAATATTGATTCACTCATAGAGTCTTTGCATCGAAAATAAACATATTTATTCTAAAACCAGTTGTTGGCATGATACAGGGTATGTCCTAACGGGAGGGATTGTGGATGATTTTCATATGATAAAGACTTAATCTTTCGATCAGTTTAATTGAAGTCTGGAGTTGGCATGTCATTAACTGCTAGTAGTCCTTTGTTACAGGTAATTTATGTTGATCATTGTCATTTTGCTAATTTTCTTCTGTTATCTAACATAGGACTCTTAACTTCTTTAAACTGAGTTTTACTGTGCGTATTGCTGTTTGTTTGTTTATTCCACATTGGCTAAAGGTTGAGATATCTCAAAACATCTTTAACTCTGCTGCATTTTTACGCCAGCCCCTAGTTAGGAACCTCTAGCTGTTGTTAGTCTTGTGTGTTTTTTTTAGCTCACCTGGCCCAAAGGGCCAAGTGAGCTTTTCTCATCACTTGGCGTCCATCGTCTGTCGTCCGTCGTCGTCGTTAGCTTTTTACAAAAATCTTCTCCTCTGAAACCACTGGGCCAAATTTAACCAAACTTGGCCACAATCATCATTAGGGTATCTAGTTTAAAAATGTGTCCGATGACCCCGCCAACCAACCTAGATGGCCACCATGGCTAAAAATAGAACATAGGGGTAAAATGTAGATTTTGGCTTATATCTCTGAAACCAAAGCATTTAGAGTAAATCTGACATAGGGTAAAACTGATTATCAGGTCAAGATCTATCTGCCCTGAAATTTTCAGACAAATCTGACAACCTGTTGTTGGGTTGCTGCCCCTGAATTGGTAATTTTAAGGAAATTTTGCAGTTTTTGGTTATTATCTTGAATATTATTATAGATAGAGATAAACTTTAAACAGCAATAATGTTCAGCAAAGTAAGATCTACAAATAAGTTGTCATGACCAAAATTGTAAGTCGATCCCTTTAGGAGCTATTGCCCTTAATAGTCAATTTTTAACAATTTTTTGTAAATTTTTGTAATCTTTTACAAAAATCTTCTTCTCTGAAACTACTGAGACAAATTTAACCATACTTGGCCATAATCATTATAAGGGTATCTAGTTTAAAAAATTTGTCCGATGACCCCGCCTTCCAACCATCATGGCCGACTTGGTTAAAAATAGAACATAGGGGTAAAATGCAGTTTTTGGTTTATATCTCTGAAACTAAAGCATTTAGAGCAAATCTGACAGTTGGCAAAAATGTTCATCAGATTTAGATTTATCTGCCCTGAAATTTTCAGACAAATCCGACGACCCGTTGTTGGGTTGCTGCACCTGAGTTAGTAATTTTACAAATATTTTGAAGTTTTTTGTTATTATCTTAGATATCATTATAATATCTAATATCTAATACTATTAATTATGATTTTCACCTTATTTTACATGATTTCCAAAGCATCAGTAAATACAGGTGAGCGACACAGGCTCTTGAGAGCCTCTAGTTTAAATTTGGTTCATTTGTATATTTCAGAGTTAAGTGTGACATCCATTTCGCTGAACAAGTATACATTATTATTTAGGGCCAGCTAAAGCCTGCCTCCGGGTGTGGGATTTTCTTGCAGCTTTGAAGACCAATTGGTGGCCATAGCCTGTTTTCTGCCCTTTGGTTAGGTTGTTGTCTCTTTGACACATTCCCCGTTTCCATTCTCTGTTCTATTTTGTTTTTATAGTACATGTATCATATTCCCTTAAATAATTTTCAATGATAAAGTGATATTGAAAACTGACTAGATACCACAATGTTAAATTTATTCTTCTCTCTCTGTTTTCAGTTTGGTATGGTATATTGTTTATGAGACAAGGCCTGTACCAGGAAGGTGTATTCAGATTTAAATTAACAATTCCAGATAATTTCCCTGATGGGGAATGCCCTGTAAGTACGTTACTTAGGCAGTGTCAGTATGTTAATTTGTGCCAAGTTATTGCGATAGATTCATTTTTTTCCAGATTTTACTCTGGAAATATGAAAACGAAAATTTAAGATTGTATTTTCAACAAATATTGAATTAAGAAAATCATTTATATTTGCTGAATTGACATTATAAAAGAACATTAAATTCAAAGATTTGCAATGTCTAATTAGGCTTGTTGGAGTCTATGATGGCAAGAAATCTTGCCTGAGGATAAAACACTAATTTCAAGATGGGACTCCAAATTTTGTATATGATGACATATTCATTGTGGTCAATGTTCATAAAAATAATAATGTGTGTAAATGGGGCTTTTTTTTAAAGAAAATAACTGAAAACAAATGATAAGTGACAGTAATTTATGTAGCTCCCAGTTATCTTCTTTGTTTGCTAAGCTTTAGCAGTAGCTGTTACAATTAAGTTAGGTGTTTTATACAACAGAAAGTTGAACAATTTATGCCCTCTGTCCTTCTGTCCTTATGTTATTTTGAAATCAAACAGTTTAAATATCAAGAAATTGTTCATTAAAGTTGAAGATATTTATCTGATTAAGTCATATTAGTGTATAATGATGGTTTACAGATAGAGTTTGTGTTGGCTCTTTAATTAAGTAAATTTCATGAAAATTATTCTTGTTCGCTTGTTCAGATTTTTAGCTCACCTGGCCCGAAGGGCCAAGTGAGCTTTTCTCATCACTTGGCGTCCGTCGTCCGTCGTCCGGCGTCGTCCGTCGTCGGCGTTAACTTTTTACATTTTGAACTTCTTCTAGAGAACCACTGAATGGAATGAAACCAAACATGGCATGAATGTTCCTTATGAGGTGCTGACCAAGTGTTGTTACTTTGTAGCCGATCCATCATCCAAGATGGCCGCCAGCGGGGGACTTAGTTTAACATAGGACCCTATGGGAAATGCATACAAATGACTTCTTTTAGAGAACCACTGAATGGAATGTAACAAAACATAGCATGAATGTTCCTTACAAGGTGCTGACCAAGTGTTGTTACTTTGTAGCTGTTCCATCATCCAAAATGGCCACCAGTGAGGGACTTAGTTTAACATAGGACCTTATGGGAAATGCATACAAATGACTTCTTTTAGAGAACCACTGAATGGAATGAAACAAAACATAGCATGAATGTTCATTAGGAGGTGCTGACCAAGTGTTGTTACTTTGTAGCTGATCCATCATCCAAGATGGCCGCCAGCGGAGGACTTAGTTTAACATAGGACCCTATGGGAAATGCATACAAATGACTTCTTTTAGAGAACCACTGAATGGAATGAAACAAAACATAGCATGAATGTTCCTTACAAGGTGCTGACCAAGTGTTGTTACTTTGTAGCTGTTCCATCATCCAAAATGGCCGCCAGTGAGGGACTTAGTACATAGGACCCTATGGGAAATGCATACAAATGACTTCTTTTAGAGAACCACTGAATGGAATGAAACAAAACATAGCATGAATGTTCATTAGGAGGTGCTGACCAAGTGTTGTTACTTTGTAGCCGATCCATCATCCAAGATGGCAGCCAGCAGGAGACTTAGTTTAACAAAGGACCCTATGGGAAATGCATACAAATGACTTCTTTTAGAGAACCACTGAATGGAATGTAACAAAACATAGCATGAATGTTCCTTACAAGGTGCTGACCAAGTCTTGTTACTTTGTAGCTGTTCCATCATCCAAAATGGCCGCCAGTGAGGGACTTAGTTTAACATAGGACCCTATGGGAAATACATACAAATGTCTTCTTTTATAGAACCACTGAACGGAATGAAACCAAACATGGTATGAATGTTCCTTATGAGGTGCTGACCGAGTGTTGTTACTTTGAAGCCGATCCATAATCCAAGATGGCCGCCAGCGGGGGACTTAGTTTAACATAGGACCCTATGGGAAATACATACAAATGTCTTCTTTTAGAGAACCACTGAATGGAATAAAACCAAAAATGGTATGAATGTTCCTTATGAGGTGCTGACTGAGTGTTGTTACTTTGAAGCCGATCCATAATCCAAGATGGCCGCCAGCGGGGGACTTAGTTTAACATAGGACCCTATGGGAAATACATACAAATGTCTTCTTTTAGAGAACCACTGAATGGAATGAAACCAAACATTGCATGAATGTTTCTTATGAGGTGCTGACCGAGTGTTGTTACTTTGAAGCCGATCCATAATCCAAGATAGCCGCCAGCGGGGGACTTAGTTTAACATACCACCCTATGGGAAATACATACAAATGTCTTCTTTTAGAGAACCACTGAATGCAATGAAACCAAACATGGCATGAATGTTCCTTATGAGGTCTTGACTAAGTGTTGTTACTTTGAAGCCGATCCATCATCCAAGATGGCCGCCAGAGAGGGACTTAGTTTAACATAGGACCCTATGGGAAATACATACAAATGTCTTCTTTTAGAGAACCACTGAATGCAATGAAACCAAACATGGCATGAATGTTCCTTATGAGGTGCTGACCAAGTGTTGTTACTTTGAAGCTGATCCATCATCCAAGATGGCAGCCAGCGGGGGACTTAGTTTAACATAGGACCCTATAGGAAATACATACAAATGTCTTCTTTTAGAGAACCACTGAATGCAATGAAACCAAACATGGCATGAATGTTCCTTATGAGGTGCTGACCAAGTGTTGTTACTTTGAAGCTGATCCATCATCCAAGATGGCAGCCAGCGGGGGACTTAGTTTAACATAGGACCCTATGGGAAATACATACAAATGTCTTCTTTTAGAGAACCACTGAATGCAATGAAACCAAACATGGCATGAATGTTCCTTATGAGGTGCTGACCAAGTGTTGTTACTATGAAGCCGATCCATAATCTAAGATGGCCGCCAGCGGAGGACTTAGTTTAACATAGGACCCTATGAGAAATACGTACAAATGTTTTCTTTTAGAGAACCATTGAATGGAATGAAACCAAACATGGCATGCATGTTCCTTTTGAGGTGCTGACCAAGTGTTGTTACTTTGAAGCTGATCCTTCATCCATGATGGCTGCCAGATGGGGACAATGTTTAACAAAGGACCCTATGGATGATACATACAAATGTCTTCTTTTAGAGAACCACATACTGAATGGATTGAAACCAAACATGGCATGAATGTTCCTTATGAGGTGCTGACTAAGTTTTGTTACTTTGAAGCTGATCCTTCATCCATGATGGCCGCCAATAGGGGGACTTCCTTTAAAATAAGACCCTATGGGAAATACATACAAATGCTTCTTCTAGAGGTGCACTGAATGGAATGAAACCAAAACATGGCATAAATGTTTCTTATGAGGTGCTGATTAAGTGTTGCTACTTTGTTGCCGATTTACTGTTCAAGATGGCCACCAGAATTTTTTATTAAATTACAGGACCAATATTAAACCAAATTTGGCCTCACTCATTATTAGGGTATCTGTTATGATTTTAATCTATTTTTACATGATTTCCAAAACCAAAGTAGAATCAGGTGAGCGACACAGGCTCTTGAGAGCCTCTAGTTTTCTTGTAATGCCTCCATATCTGGAGCTGATTTATGGTACATTAGTGTATTGTAAATTCAGAAATTATCGCATGCATTTATTATTGCGAATTTTGTAGAAAATGCGAGATTAATTATTGCGATTTCAGAAAAATGTGCATACAGTTATATGTATCAGATATAAGAATGCAAGTTCTTATTAATGCGATACTCTTTCAGTCGCATTATTCGCATTAATAAAAACCTCACATTAATTTCTGAATTTACAGTATTATGATGACTTAAAGTTCAATTCTTCGTTTCCCTTAGGTTGACTACTTTTGGTAGAATTGCTGCCAATAAATTTTTTTTATGAAAATTGTACTGGTAAGATTGGTCTTTGTTATGCCTGCAGATCTTGAACTGAATTTGGGAACATAGTATACAAAATGGTGACTTACAGATAGATTGATTTTGTGTTTCCTTTAAGTTTACTGATTGTTTAGTCCTTTTTTTCATGATTTTCAGGTAACCTCTAGACCATAATCACAAAAAACAATATCAGACTTATATATGTCCCTTTTCAAAAGGTGTCTGTTATGAGGAAATCCCATTAGAATTAAACCATCTTAAGTAACTCTTTATAAAAACAAAAACTATACTGATAAGACATGTTCTAAGAAGCCCCTTTGTTCTACTTCCTAATGTTGTCTTTTAACATATGCATATATTTGTATTACAGAGTCTAGTCTTTGATTTTCCTGTCTTTCATCCTTTAGTGGATCCTTCTACTGGGGAACTTGATGTAAAAAGAGCTTTTCCAAAATGGAGGTCAGTATAAAAATCTTGTACGACTACAAAACTTGATAAACTAGATTCATAAAGAAGCATGTAGTTAACAGTAAATCCCATATAAAAAAGGGGAAATTTACCTAAAAGAATTGTTGTTCCAAAATTATTTTCATAGATTTGCACAAAATATGTTTTGTATCAAATAAATTTTGGTGAGGATACTGGAAAAGTATTTTATTACAAGCAATGTTTGTTATTGATACATTGTATTAAAATATTCCACAAAATAAAGCAAAACAGTGATTAAAATACTATAGGGTTAGAGCTCCCAATGAGCTTCAGCTTTAAGTTTTGATAATGTTTACTGGTAACAGTCAGGGGAAGTACTTGAATAAGGGATTTTATTTTGTCAATTATTACAAATAAAAGTTATCTACCTTTATTTTAAGTCCGACATCACTAAAATGAGTAGTACATTTGATTAACTAAGTGAAGCAATTTTATATTTTGTAATTTTTTCTCCAAAATTCAAAGTATAGCCATGCTGTTATAAAGAATATAACAAAGATAAACATATAAACTGAGCAAGTAAACTCTTATATTATTAAACATGATAAACATTTAGTGTTATCTGGACATTTATGTGAAAATCACTTGTTCGAGTAGTATATGGTAATTTTCTGCTCAGAAATCAACTCTTTAAGTAGCATTTTCCCCTACTGGCCCCTGGTATTTTCACCACCATAGAACACTAAACTTTGTACCCAAAATATTATTTTGTTATTGCATAATAAGAACCCTGAAATGTTATAGTTTTTCAGGAAAAATACTGAACCTGTTTTGAAAAATCTGAGGAACTTGGGATAAAAATTTAAAAAATGTCTAAATTCACTCAAAATATTGTATAGAATGCAACATGCTAAAAAGGAGTCACTGGGTGTTTTATTTAAAGAAATTTAGGAATGATTATTCATTTTGAACAGTATTTTTTTGTTAAAAAATGTGTAACTTTTTTTAATTGCCAATTTTTGTCCTATTTCTGGGAATGAAGAAATGCTTCTGAAACAACTGATAACGGTGTTTCAAATCTAGTCTAATGGAATTTGTGTGAACTTTTTTTTTGTTAAAAGTAAACTCATCCAGTATTTCATTTGTAAAGAAATGAAATTTTACATTTTTTTTAAAGACAAAAAGACCTATAATTTTTGCAAATTCCATTTGATGATATGTTTCTTTATTGAGCAAAAACTCAAACATTCTTTTTATATGTTGCTTTGAATATATATGAGTTATACTGTCAAGTTTAAAATTGGCAACACTCTTGTTACAGGAAGAACAATAACCATGTATGGCAGGTGCTGTTGTATGCTAGAAGATGTTTTTATAAAATAGATACAAAATTGCCATGGAATCCAGAAGCTTCTGTATTGTAAGTGACTTAACACTTTATTAATACAACTTTTACTTTAACTTATTTGGCTTTCATCAGATTTGATGAAAAGCAACTGATATAGATCTACTAATAATCAACTGATACATACTGAATGAAAACCATGTAAGCAACTATAGGTCACAGTATCACTGTATGCCATTAGTCATTTTCAAATCTGTGGTGTAGTCACTTCCTGTTTGGTCATACTTTTTGAACAATGAGCATGGAATTTTCTAAAAGTGTCTACACACATTTTATTTATGAATTTCAGAATAGCCTATTGACTTTGAAACAATTTTATTTTTCAAATGTTAAAGTTTGTGACTAGGTCACTTTAGGGGGAACCACTTATGATTAGTCAGTGCTATTTGGTATGCAGTTGTATAAGCATTGGCACATCTCATTTCCATCGAGATTAGTTGGCCCTGCCTCCTCAGTCATGGTTTATTGACTTTGAAACTTTTGCATAGTTTACATGTTAAAGTTTGTGATTAGTTCAATTTAAGGGGAACCACTACCACTTATGACTTCCGGTAGTCAATGATATTTGGTTTGCATTTGTATAAGCATTTGCACATCTCATTTCCATGGAGATTAGTTGGCCCTGCCCACTCAGTCATGGAGTTCAATACATGTTAAGTTTGTGATGACAGTTAAAAGGGAATCACTTATAAGTAAATGATATTTAATATGCAGTTGTATTATTATTGGCATGTTTTATTTAGTTCATGGACTTTAAATAATTTACATGATAAAATATTACTATTTTAATTTCAGCATTTACATTTTACCGTCAAAATAATATACAGGTGAGACATATCTCTGTGTAATCAGTTTACATGTTTTTATATAAACAAATTTCGGGAGTATTATAGGAAATCAGTTGATTTCTCCATATTTATACAAATCTGAGGAATGTGAGTATGAATATAAAAGCTCTGTTTACACTTTTTCTTCTTTTAAATTGACAAAAGAAGCATAACATTTTTATAGTTTTGTCTGTCTGTTTTACAGATATGAAGAAGATACAGATTTGTTCAAGAAAAAAGTGTTGGAAACAGTTGCTGTAAGCAAAGACAAATCTAAAGAACCTGTTAAATCAGATGACCCTCATACAATAAGGTAGGTGTGCATGATTCAATGATGATACTCTTTCCATCTGTTTGTTTCTCTTCATGTCCCATCTCCTACTCCTTCAAAGCAATCTATTTGAATTCAATGAAAATTTCAGGATTTTTTAGCGCTTTAGGTCATTGCGTATCTTATTTAATTTCTTGAATGGTTATGTGCAGACATTATTCTTTTGTACTGTCTATCCTTTGATCAGGTAATTACAAAAATTATAAATACAAACTTCTTCAACAGTTGACATAGAAGTGAAATGCAATAACAGATTTATTTCACACAGTGTAGATGTGTTCAAATCATGGGCTTTACCATTTCTACAGTTCAGTTTTCAAATACAAATATCAAACAGCTAGAATAGAAATAGAAGCAAAATTGACAGAATTACTTCACACCATGTGTAGTTGTATATCTCTGTACTTATTTTTATTTGATTGATTTTTTCAATTTTTCGTAGCAAAACATTAACTAAACAGGGAAGTTTATCAATGCAAAATGTCCAACAATTGAGTTAGAATGAAACCAAACTTGACTGAATTCCTTTATACTGTAGTTTTCTGGCTTTCCATGAAAGTCAAAGAATGCAGCCAGAAACTATTTGTATGAAGCTTTATATTTCAGAAAGAAGAAGACCTGGATACTTCATACCTTGCTTATTGATGCATTATGAAGTTCCATCTGTTATATGTCCATTGTCCTTGATCTCATTTTCATGGTTCAGCGACTGCTTAAATTAGAAAGGGTTCCCCTGACCTTGACCTCATTTAATAGATCAGTGATCAAGGTTAAAGGTCTATTTCTCTGACAGTGTGTCAACTATATTTGGTACATGGAAAGATTGTTAGATGTACATGTCTGTCTGGAAGGTATCATCTGATCATGACCTCATTTTCGTGGTTCATTAGTCAAAGTCAAATTCCGTAGTTTGGTCCTTTTCTCAGATACTATAAGCAATGGGTCAACTATTTATGGTTTGTGGAATGATTGTAAGATTACATGTCTGTCTGGTTGGGTTTCATGTGACCTTGACCTCGTGACAAAAGGCATCCTAAATTGGAAAGTGGAATTTCTAAGATGTAAATTTATCATATTTGCACACACAACTACTGGTAGTGAAGCATTATCTGCCATACATAATTATGTGTATGACACACAGAATGTCTGTGTTTGTGGGTTCAGGTGACAAAAAAAAACAGAAACCTTTACCTGATCAACAAGATTATTTAAACAAAGAAATAGTTAAAGTTTTCTTTTTTACAGATATACACCATGGGACCCAAATATACATGAAGACGCCAGAAAACAAATGATTAAACCTAAGGTAAATACAGGTAAACCAGGTATTTTAGTTTTCGGTAATGGTCAGCTTGCCACAAAACTAATTGGAAAGCTTTTAATTTGGGAGAAGGTTCAAATGTATAAATGCTTTTTGGCTTATTAATATATAGAAATCAACAGTATATTAATGTTACATTCTTTAATTATTTTAAAAAGAAATCCTGTTATATTCATTAATCATTATTATTCAGACTAACGTTGATGAATGGGAGACATGAATGCAAATGCAAGGAGGATGTTTGCATAAATCATTTACATAAAGCTTTTTGCTTTTTGTCCCCTGTGCTACGCATTGTGAGGGACATAAAAATACAGGGCATCCATCTGGTCTTGTTAGTGCTCTTACATGAGCAATGCTTGCCAGAAATTTATATCAAAGATTTATATCAGCAATGTCTTGGCCAAGTTCAAAAAACAGTTCCAGAGAACTATTTTTTAAGGGTTTATGCCCCTTGGAAGTATAAATTATATGGAAAATTGCATTGTAAGCACTCTCAAGCCTACATTTCTTGTCATACTGCTATGAAATTTATATCTAAGGTTTATATTAGCAATGCCTTGGATGATTTGGAAAATCAGTGCTGATAAATTATTTTTACCTGAGTTATGTACTTTTAGAAATGTAAATTGCATTGTAAGTGCTCTCAAGTGTACAATTTCTTCCAGATATTAATTAAATTAAAATCAAAGTTAATATCACCACTGTCCCTGGGATGAGTTTGAAAACTAGCGCTGATCAATTATTTTTACAGGAGTTATGTCCCTTAGAAATGTAAATATCAAAAATTGCATTGTTAGCACTCTCATCTGTACAATTCTTGCCAGATATTATGAAATTTATATCAAAGGTTTATATCAGCAATGTCAACAGTTTGAAAATCAGTACTGATCAATTTACTAAAAAGAATTTTGCGCTTAGAAATATTAGTTAAATAGAAAAGTGCTTTCTAATCACTCTTACAACTACATTTCTTGTAGGATTGTTATGAAAAGTAAAATGTCATTAGATATAAGGTCGGCTTACACATGATGGCAAAAACTCCTTCCAATTATGAGAGCTTTCTCTCAAATGGTCTCAGAGAAGTTGCATTCACAGGAAAGTCCAAAAAAGTCAAGTCCAATAACTCCTGTAAAAATGATCAAATGAGAATGACGGTATAATGTGATCAACATAAGATGGAAAAAAATCCTAGCATAAATGAGAGCTTTCTGTGTTTGGGTCTTAAAGTGTTGTTGTGTTAGGATAGTAACACAACATACACTTGTTTGAAAGACAGTATCGATAACAAATAAATATGTGTGATACAAACTAAAATACACATAATTTGCAGAACTTTCAAGGAAAGTAAGTTGTATACATTGCTGTATGCTAAAAATTAAGAAAGTTTTGAGCATTTTTGTGATGGTATAAAAGAGCACTGTAAAGCATATTTGTGCAAATATATGTATAATTGTGATATATTTTAATTTAATTTTTACATTATATGTAAAATGTTTGGGTTATAACAATAATAAATAGATCGTCGCTAATTAACATTTTTAAACATGTCACTGATTGTGGTGTTGTCAAAAGGTTATACATGCATGATTAACCAATTTAATTATTATGAAAACAGATATCTTAATTAAATATGCACATTCTTGTGATCTGTCTATCAACACAACAGTTTGATTTTTTAGTAAAATTATATTTCAGGGTGAAAAGAGTTTATATATCAATATCTTGTATACTCGATAATTAGTCCCCTACCGACAAAGTCGAAGGGGACTTTAGGTTTGCACTCCGTCCTTCTGTCTGTCTGTCTGTTTGTCTGTCTGTTCTTTCCATCTGTCAGTCCGGCAAATCAGTTTTCCAGACTTTTTTCTGTGCTTGAAGATATTGATTTGATATTTGGTTTATTGATTTATCATGACAAGTTGCAGATCAATTTCAATTTTCACGATTTTAGCTTTTCTCTTTGTTCAGTTAAAGCCCTTTCCCTAGAATTAAATTTTTGATGAAATACTTATTATAAGTAGATTTCTGTTCAAAGGGAAATAACTCATATTTTAAAAGACAAAATGACATTTTGGATTTTTTTCCTTTTCTTTGGGAAATTGTTTGAAGAATTTAGTGGTAGGTTTGTTTGTCATTCTTGAAGATATTGATTTGATAATTAGTATATAGTTTTATCATGACAAGATACAGATCAAGTTGGAATTTTGTTCCAGTCTGATAATTTTGTACAGAGTTATGGTCTTTGGACATAGAAAATTCACTTAAATAATCAGTTTTCAACTTTTTTTTTCGTCATGCTTGAAGATTTTTACTTGATATTTTTATGTAGTTTACACCATGACAAGTTATAGATCAAGTTAGAATTTCGTTCCATTACAATAAATTTGTTACCGGTAGGGGACTATGTTATTACTATGCAATACTCACAGAATGCTGGTTAACATTATAATGTATGTAACTAAAATTGAGAATGGAAATGGGGAATGTGTCAAAGAGACAACAACCCGACCATAGGACAGACAACAGCAGAAGGTCACCAACAGGTCTTCAATGCAGCGAGAAATTCCCGCACCCGCAGGCGTCCTTCAGCTGGCCCCTAAACAAATATATATACTAGTTCAGTGATAATGAACGCCATACTAAACTCCAAATTGTACACAAGAAACTAAAATTAAAAATAATACAAGACTAACAAAGGCTAGAGGCTCCTGACTTGGGACAGGCGCAAAAATGCGGCGGGGTTAAACATGTGTATGAGATCTCAACCCTCCCCCTATACCTCTAGCCAATGTAGAAAAGTAAACGCATAACAATACGCACATTAAAATTCAGTTCAAGAGAAGTCTGAGTCTGATGTCAGAAGATGTAACCAAAGAAAATAAACAAAATGACAATAATACATAAATAACAACAGACTACTAGCAGTTAACTGACATGCCAGCTCCAGACTTGCATTTAAACACTGATAAATCTTTGAATATACAGGGAAATTGACACAGGGTCAAATTTTCACACTTCTTTAGCTGCTGCAAACAAACCGAAAATTAAACACACATGAAAAAAACCTGATATACCGTATACTCATTGATATATACCCAACATCTCCTTAAATTCATAATCTAAAGGAATTAAAGCTGATAGTTTTTTATGATTAATTATTTATTGAATCATTGATAGGTTTTAATTAGTGATTTCTGTATGATTCCGTTGGGGAAGTGTATACAATTTTGTATTTTTCACTCTTCTCTCAAATTATGCTTCAAATTAACATGTTTTTATTGGTATGATGTTGGCGTCGTCGTCGTCTGAATACACATTTGGTTTTCGCACAATAACTTTAGTTTAAGTGAATGGATCTCTATGAAATTTTACCATAAGGTTCAATACCACAAAAGGAAGGTTGGGATTGATTTGGGTTATGGTACCAACAGTTAAGGAATTAGGGGCCAAAAAGGGGCCAAAATAAGCATTTTTGTAACTTCCAGACAATAACTTGTGTGTTAGTGTATGGATCTCTCTGACATTGTACCACAAGGTTCCATATCACAAAGGGAATGCTGGGATTGATTTTGGGGGTAATTGCCTCAAAATTTAAGGAATTAGGGGCCAAAAAGGGGCAAAAAAAAAAAGCATTTTTCTAGTTTCATGACAATTACTTGTTTGTAAGTGTATGGATCTTTCTGAAATTGTACTACAAGGTTCCATATCACAAAGGGAAAGCTGGAATTGAGTTTGGGGGTAATTGCCCAAAACATTTAGGAATAAGGGGCCAAAAAGGGGCTAAAAATAAGCATTTTTCTAGTTTCCAGACAATAACTTGTGTTCAAGTGTATGGATCTCTCTGAAATTGTACTGCAAGGTACCATGCCACAAAGGGAAGGCTGGGATTGAGTTTGGGGTTGATGAATCATAAGGGGGTTCAAAAAATTGGGGGGGGGGGATTTTTTTTTTCTCTGTTTCAAAATAACAAGCTTTTTATAAGACTGTTATTAAATGAAAGCATATGAATAAAGGAACTAAAAAAGCAGAAAAAAATGAAGGGTCTGTGTGCTTGTTTTCGAGATGTAAGTCATTGAAAATTTGGCGAGTGATTACTCTCTAGAATTTTTATACATTTAACATTGGCACCTTTTTTCTATAAAAACTATGAAAAAATGACAATGATTTTATAAGATTATCAAAAATTGCTATTTAAACTATATATAATAAAATTATGAAAAGAAAAGTAGGGGTTTGCGGGCAAAATTTTTAATGGCACTACATGTATAAAACTAGAGGATTTTGAATATCTGGCAAAAAATCAAAAACAAGAGGAGCGAACATCCTTAAGAACAGAATGACTTCATAATAGGTCAGCAGCTTAACAGTGATGAGCTGTATAAAGTGTGAGCACTCAGACACCTACTTCCTGGTTGCAGATACTATAGATTTTCCAATATGTTTTATGAAAACTTTTATTTTTTTCTTCTCAATATTCTGAAGAACTATTGAACAGAATGACTTTATATTTTGTCAGCAGTTTGACAGTGATGAGGCTTAACTTGTTTCTGATTTGTCAGTCCCTACTTCCTGTTTTCTGATCCTTTGAATTAGGATTGAGGGTATATAAAAAGGGTCATTATTAACATATTTTCATTCTTTACTGACTTTGGTTAAAGTTATAGTTTGGTACTGTTAGAACTGTCTTGTAGTTCTGCTTCACTAAGTAGGCCTTGAATCAGTTAATAATGCTGGATTTTTTTACAATCCTTTAACATAATTTAGAACAGAAGCATTTTCCGTAGTCTATGATTATGTTTATGTGGTATTCAGGTAAAAACTGTATTGCTGAATTACCTATATTGTGTAAGATTTTATAAGATTTGAAAGGTGGTTTGCTTGAACACATTAATTAGCTCTTGTAGATGTAATTAATATTGAATGATAAAAGATGAAAATGATTAATTGTAGTTTTTACAGTTTTTCTTCAATCTTTAAAATTGATGAAACCATTATAATTGATTTAAAAAACTTCATTTATTCATTGCATATTAATTAGTAATTGACTTTTAATTAGTACATGAGTATGGAAAATGTAAATACTATTGTATTGAAGTACAAGGTCAAATGACATGTCATATTTACAAAACTGAATGATAAATACTGTGATTAGATATACAGGTTGACAAAGTATTTCAACCCTTGTATATAGGATTCATTACTAGTGATTTACTTTGATATGCTAAAAAATCTGAATTTACTTTGATACGCTCAAATATCTGAACAATTTCAAGTTCTTTCTTTATATTTCTTATGAATTATGTAATGTTTTCATATTATGTAATATGTTGTAGCAGAGAAATCTCTTTTTATCTTAGTGCAGAGAGTTGAACATTTTTTTGTGTACTTGTATTATAATCCTAAATACATCAGCAAAAGGTAAACAGATGTTGAAGCTTTAACATTGTTTACATCTTCTTTATAAAAATTACATACATGCATAGTTTTGATTTTGTTTGTGATTATCAGGTTTATGAATATCTTCCTACTAGTTAAATAATCACATATTTTGTTGCTAACTACTGGAATAGCTTTGACTTGCACCAAAATGGAAATCTATATTTACTTTCTTTTTATTTTGTGAAATGTCTATATGTACATTTATAAAATATTTGTCCTCAAACTTGGAATTTATCAGGATAAGGAAGTAAATATTGTCAATATCTTTCCGAAATAACCAACATTTTAGGTCTCCTTCCTACATACTTTGTAACTTAACCTAATTTAATAATGTCACCCTATACAGTGTGTTAAGTGTTCCGAGACTTATTAAAGGTCTTGTGAGTTCATACAAATACATGAATGGAAGTTTGTCTGTTGTTAAGATTGAACACATAGCCAAGAAAATAGATTAGGCCATGCCTATTATAATAAAATAATAAATGTATGTACTTTTTCATTATGCAGTTAACTCTGAAAGGTTTTTAAATTAAAACTAGGTCATTGATTAATGTGAAGTGAAGATCATCCCAGACTTTAAAAAATTTAATCTGAATTTGATGTTGACCTAACATTGCTTCTGAAAAAAATCCTTTTTTTGTGTTGTTTTTTTTTTGAAGATTTTATAAACATGTTCCTGATTTTTATATTCATTTTGTACCTGTGAAGTATGTGTGCTTTTCTAAAGTAAATAAAAAAAAAAAAGTAATTGAAAATGAATCAATTCAAACCATACTTTTGTGAGATTCTGTAGAATTATCAAAAAACAGATCTCTTAGATTATCAATAATGAAAATGTATTGATTAGTAATCAACTTTTTTTATAATGGGAAGATAATCAATACATGTAATGGAAAATACTTCTATTTTGTTTTTAGTATTAAGATCAACAATGATAACTTTGTGACCCAGCACATCATCAAACCTAGACACAAATTTACCTGTTTTAGTCTGGTTTTTATAAGCAGACTAATTTCTCATGTGGCAAAAGTTCATTTTATATTCATTTTTTTTTCAGTCAAAAGGTAGTGAGAGTCAAACGTCAACAAGGACAAATGGTCTGTCATGGATGAAGAATGGAAGTTTACAGATATTATCCAGAGAAGATTCTGGCCTTGCGTGATAGAAAAGTCTAATCTTATGCATTCATGTGTTCATATTGATTTTGTTAGACATTTAATTTATCCCATGAAATAATAAAACTGTAAAAATGTGATTACAAGAGACAAAAACTAATGTTGTGCTATAAAATAGGTTTTTACAATTGTGAAGTAAATTTTGTAAGCATTTGCTCTAATGCATTGAATATTGCTATCTGGAAGAAAGTTGTCTTAAGGAAGGTTGTTCTAATCTATATATGTATTACTGCCAATTAATCTTTATCAATTGCATCAGCTTTGATAAAAGAAAAAGGATTAATATATTAGATATATGTGTATATACCTCTACACTACGTGCTTGTTGAGTATGGACATATTATGTTGTACTGCTGTTGAACCATCCATATAAACTTAAAGATAAACTTAAAATTTTTCTTTTTACCAAATCTTATAATAGCATAGTTAGCATTAGCTTAGAATTTATGATCATTTTGCTTTGACTAAATCTTAATTGTTTCACAATAATGATAAGATTTAGCTCCCTTTCAGTTTGATATGTTTCACTAATTTTGTGCCATTGTTGCAGAACCCAATTTGTGAAAAAAAAATTGACCCTTTTTCATATTTTACACAAGAACTCAGCTTTTACTTATTTTTTTTATTTTTTTTGGTAAGTTATTTTATAATTTATTGGGTAAGTGGGTGTTTGTATGCTTCTGATGCAGTTGTCTATTTATTTGAATTGTTACTTAAAAGTCATGATGGACAAATGTTTTATTTTTGATGAATCCGATTTCCAGCATTGATTTCAAAATGTAAATGTGGTTTACATAAGAGATGGATTTTTATCCCATTCCTTTACTGACCATAGCTTTTAACTCAACTGGCCCAAAGGACTAATGAGTGTTGCAATCACTTGATTCCATTTCCTATTCATTATGGCCTTTTTTATGCTCCACTCTTAAGCCAATTGTTGGAAGATCATCTAGATTTGTCGATTTTTCAATCTGTATGTGCATTAGTCTTGATTTGGTTAAATTCTTTTTGTAGTTCCTTTTACAGAAACATGTGAATATGCATGTCGACTCAATGTAATTTGTTATTGATATGACAGTGGTCAACAAAATTTGAGTCATCTCAATATACTTTTCATGCATAAGTGCCATTTATAAGTGTTTAGTTTGTTCAGTTCAGAAACAAATAATGATGTATTGGGGATATTTCAGTATATTATAACATTTCCTTTATAGACTTATTAAATACAGTACATTTCTATTACAAAGTGATCATAACAAATCAGCCACACATACGATTGGTTTAGTTTAAGTTTAGGTTCAAATTTCAAAAATATATTTGAGTTTACCGGTAAGCCAAAGACATATATACTAATACTATTTAGTATATATGTCTCTGGGTAAGCCAATGAATTCTTACATCTGTAACACACTTCTGTGACATTTGAACCACCATATTGACACTTTATACATTCAAGTATAATTTGGTTAAAATTCGCCACATAGCACAGTGAGGATCTAAATTTGTAACATACTAGAAAATTAGATTGTAATGATATAAATTTTCATAGCCCCAATTAATTTCTGAAAAGGATGTCATACCCTATATGATTATATTTGTGATAGCCTCAGATTTTCAGTCAACTGCAAATTTTGCACTTTTCAAATTGGTCCATATCTCAGATGGTTGATATTTCACTGCCACATCACTCTTATAGTGTAAGAGGGTCTCCTTGACCTTCATTATTAAAACATTTGTGAAATGAAGGTACCTAAAATTATATAACAGGATGCCTTATAACATGTCAGTTGAGACATGGCTGTGAGGAGAAATCTAAATCGTGCAAGTTAGCAATGGACCTCTTTTTTGTGATCAATAGGTTAAAAAAAACATTCCATATAAAATGTAATTTCAATATTTGAATGTGTGATTTGTGTGACATACCCTGAAATTTTGTGTACATATAAAACAACATTAAAATTATATAAAATATATATTCTAGTCTTGTGTAAGTTGTGGACATTATTTTAATGGGCTTTAAATCCTAAAACTGAATAAGTTTTGTCAGTAACAATAATAGAGCAACAAAGTCTTCAATCTGATGAAGTGTGCTTTATAGTGCAAAACTTTCGCTGAAAATGAAAATGCATTAATTATTTTTTGTAGGCCTTAGGGCTTTACGTCTCAGAGTTTATTCAATATACTACATTTTTTATTCTCTTGGTTTTGTATTTTAAAGGACCTGTAAACTGTATATTTAGAAATATCATACCGCACTAGGATTTGTCCTCAATGGGCTTAAATGGTGTTCTTTTGGTGCTCTGATTTATCTCTCACTAAATTACAAAATATTCTTTTTAAATATTATTGTTTTAATTCTTTACAGCATATGGTTGTATGCTTGCCAAAAGTGAGATATCGATGATTACGTAAATAATATGTGGTGACTTTAATATTGATTAAAAAAATGTGTTATTAGAATAGACACCAAATTTTGGAGAGAAGGTAAATATTTTAGTTTACTTATACAGCATGCATGAAACAAGATTTTTAATATTCAAGGGTGAGAAATAATTAATGTTTTACCAGATGTTACTTTATTATTACATGTATATCAATGTAAGACATTCTTATACTCTGAATGAAATATTATGATTATTGTTGACAATAAAGATGATCTTTAAAATTCAGTCTCTTGAAATTGTCTTTTAAATCTCTATATCTTCCAGCGATAGATATAAATTGCCAGGATTAGGGACTGCTTGAGGTTATTTTAAAGATATCTTTATAAACTGTTTAATAAGATATTTTATTAAAGTTTTTAGATATCTTATTTACAATATGAGATATCTCATTTTTTTTCATGCTTTAAAGTCGAAAAAAGCAAGATAAAGGCGTGCTGTTTCCGCTGGCGGCGGCAACAATGTATTAGTTTGTGATAAGGTCAGTTAATGTGGAACCACTAGTGGTATGTCAGTGATATTTGGTATGCAGATGTATTAGCATTGGCACATCTCATTTCCATGAAGATTATTTGGCTCTGCCCTCTTAGTCATGGTCTATTGACTTTGAAGGATTTGCAAAGTTATATGTTAAAGTTTGTGATTAGATCAGTTTAAGATAAACCACTAATGATATTTGGTATGCAGTTGTATTTTTGCAGTATTTTGGAGTGCAGTTCTATAAGCATTTCATTTCTCATTTCCATGGATATTTTTGGGACCTTCAGTCATGGTACATTGACTTGGAATGTTTTGCATAGTTTACATGTTTAAATATTGCCATTTTAATTTCGACATTTGCATTGTACTATTAAAATTACAATAAGCCTGACATCCCTCTGTCAACAGTTTATAGTTGTTAAAAGAAGTCTACGGTCAACCAGACAGAAAAACATGTATAACATACACAAGAGTGCACACGCTGAAGTATCTCGCCGCCTTTACTAATCATTGAGATTATGTTGATAGTCCTAAATATAAAGCTTTATTACAACTGTCACATAAACTTAACATTAACCAAGAAAACTAAACATTGACCAATGAACCATGAAAATAAGGTCAAGGTCAGATGAACCATGCCAGGCAGGCATGTACAGCTAACAATTCTTCCATACACCAAATATAGTTGACCTATTGCTTAAAGTTTAAGAAAAACAGAGCAAAACACAAAAACTTAACACTGAGCAATGAACTGTGAAAATGAGGTCAAGGTCAAATAAAACCTGTGCGACTGACATAAAGATCATAAAATATTTCCATACACCAAATATAGTTGATCTATTGCATATAGTATTAGAAAAAAACGACCAAAACTCAAAATCTTAACTTTGACCACTGAACCATGAAAATGAGGTCAAGGTCAAATGACACCTGCCAGCTAGACATGTACACCTTACAATCATTCCATACACTAAATATAGTAGACCTATTGCATACAGTATAAGAAAAACAGACCAAAACACAAAAACTTAACTATAACCACTGAACCATGAAAATGAGGTCAAGGTCAGATGACACCTGCCAGTTGGACATGTACACCTTACAGTCCTTCCATATACTGAATATACTTGACCTATTGCTTATAGTATCTGAGATATGGACTTGACCACCAAAACTTAACCTTGTTCACTGATCCATGAAATGAGGTCGAGGTCAAGTGAAAACTGTCTGACGGGCAAGAGGACCTTGCAAGGTACGCACATACCAAATATAGTTATCCTACTACTTATAATAAGAGAGAATTTAACATTACAAAAAATGTTAACTTTTTTTTTCAAGTAGTCACTGAACCATGAAAATGAGGTCAAGGACATTGGACATGTGACTGACGGAAACTTCGTAACATGAACATCCATATACAAAGTATGAAGCATCCAGGTCTTCCACCTTCTAAAATATAAAGCTTTTAAGAAGTTAGCTAACGCCGCCGCCGCCGCCGGATCACTATCCCTATGTCGAGCTTTCTGCGACAAAAGTCGCAGGCTCGACAAAAATTATATCTGATAAAATTGAGAATGGAAATGGGGAATATATCAAAGAGACAACAACCCGACCAAAGAGCAGACAACAGCCGAGGGCTACCAATGGGTCTGCAACGCAGCAAGAAAATCCCGCACCCGGAGGTGGTCCTCAGCTGGCCCCTAAATAAAATTGTGTACCGGTACTAGTTCAGTGAAAATGGACGTCACACTAAACTCCAAAACATATAAATGAACTAAAATTAAAAAACATACAAGACTGAGACTACTATAATACACTCTGATATAGAAGTCTCAGATTATATAAACTGAACATATTTGACTAATTATTCAGTAAATGAGAATGAATCGAAAATAATCAAATCTATAGAAGTCAACATATGTTATAGTCTTCAACAATAGATAGCTGTTTTTACAATATGCCAAGCTGTAAATCGACTACAAAGTCAGTGAATAGATTGTATAGAAACTTATTAAGGATCTCCCATCATCATCAAACTCGCCAAATAACAACAAGCTTTGGTATAAAATAACCACTGACAAGGTTTCTGAAAACTGCATATGTGTTTACAACAATCCTTTAGTCACAGACATATATATATGTACATGGTTTTTTTCTGTCTGTATAAGTGTAGAAAAAGGAATGCGGTTTATACCTGAAAAAGAGAACAACGTATGCACATGATCCTCTATTCCAGACAAAGGTAGTTATATCATTGTTGTTATTCTTTTAAAGTTTTATGATGATTTATTTTAATATTAACACATTGAAATATAATTAATTGGGTTCTTTTTCTTTTCTGTATCAGTAATTGGAAATTTTTGGCACCAATCTATTACATTCCTGATATATATATATAAAATATGTATAAATCATTGGGAGTAAACAAATCTGAAATAGGACCCATCTAAGAATAACTAAATAAGATATATATAACTTTATAAATTTTTATCAATTTAAGAATGAGGTAGATTGTATCAGTACTGCAAGGGTTAAATAACAGAGGACTGATTCCCATGGAGAAAAACTACTTCTTGTACATTGCATATCATAATTTATTGAATAAAAACAGTCCTAATTTTTGTTTTTCTTTGTATTTTATTCAGACAATATCTTATTTTTAAGCACTGTAATTATCCTCTTCAGTTATCAGATTGACGATAGGTCATGAATGTGTGTGCGTTAAATATGTTTGGCATCCAGTATAATCATTATTTCTTTGTTTTGCTTGGTGTCTTATTTTTGTTTGTCAGTTTATTTTTTTGTTTGGATGGGTGTATGTGAGTGTGATTGGGTGTTTGGGTGTTATAAATGTTATATGGTTTACTAAACTTTTATCAGTCATGACATAGAATAGATTTGAACAAAGTTGTTTATACAATGGGACATATAATATATTTTGCAAGCTCTTTTTATATTTATTCAATTTCAGGATACTTGTATCTTATACAGTTAATAACATATATCTTATAAAGTGTATAAAATATCTAGTATTCTGTATGAGATATCTTTTTCGATTTGCAGCCAATAAGTAGCTAATAATCATTATCAGATATCTTATTAACTTGATAAGATATCTTTCAAAGAATATAAGAGATCTTATTTACTTTATTAGATATCTTTTTTACTTTATCAGATATTTTTTAAGATACCTTATATGATTGATTTTACAGATATCTTATTAGCTTATATAATATCATATTGAGTTATATAAGATATCTTTGAAATAAATATATACCGGTATATAAGATATGTATCTTGTATAATATCTTATATAGTTTATAAGATATCTTGAAAATGAAATAGATATAAAAACGGCTTGTCATACATATACACCTTGTCTTTAGCTCAATTATGTGTATTTACTCTATGTTTACCTAACCTTCAATTGGATAACATGCCCTGCAAGTAATTACCATTCATGTAATATTGCACAAATTAGCACCTTCGTAGCTTGATGGAGAACAGACGCGTTTCGTCATAAGGCACTTGATTATGATTGCAGAACTTGAGATTTGGCAGATCTCTGTTACAAACAGAAATAGGTAAATCTATAAGTCGGTCAAGGATTACGAAGTGCTTCTTAGTAGATTGCTGATTATACAATTTATTTAAAAGTGCAAAATGAAATACTTGATTAGATCACATACAGGATAATGCAGGTGATAGTACCGTGTACTTACTAAAGCTTTTTTTTTCAACTATATCCAATTCGAGCTACATTATTTCATGGTTACCGCACCTGCTGCCTTCTTCTAAATGAAGGTATGTGCCTAAACCCCTAGTAAAACTTTGACATTTCAAAATGAATTAATAAGTAGGACTATGAAAACATGTTGAAGGTGCAGGCCGTTAAAGGCTCCATGCCTGGAAGAAAACCACCTTTCTGCAAGGAATCTTGTGATTATATTCTAATTCATGCTGTCCCTGAACTTACCTGAGCTGATTCTCGAGTTTTCGATGACCAATCTGATGTTAGAGGGGTAATAAAAAAAACGTTTTCTAAGACCTCATGGTCCCCTCTTTTGCCTGTTAAAACGTATATACTACTTAACCTTGGGTTAACTATATGCTTCTGAAGTTCGCGTGATTTTTTTAACAATTATAACACCTTCAGTAGTTGTTGAGGATTATTTGGCCACGGGTCATAATTTCATAAAAGGCAATGCTACGCTAGTCTACCGACGGGTGCCACATGTGAAGCAGGATCTGCTTACCCTTCAGGAGCACCTGAGATCACCCCCAGTTTTTGGTGGGGTTCGTGTTGCTTAGTCTTTAGTTTTCTATGTTGTGTCATCTGTACTATTATTTGTCTGTGTCTTTTTATTTTTGGCCATGGCGTTGTCAGTTTGTTTTCGATCTATGAGTTTGACTGTCCCTCTGGTATCTTTCGTCCCTCTTTTACGGGGTATTTGTTAAACTTTTAGTTTTAAAGGTACAAGTTCTGTTACGTAAGACATCTTTCTTTTTCTTTCGTAACCGGATCGGTCTGTAAGGGGACGACCATTTGATATTCTGGGGAGGGGGGGGGGGGGGGGCAGGAGGATTTTGAAAATAAATAACTCAGCCTTGATAATAACAAAAATGAATGGTTTGGTCTGTGGTAGTTTGAAAATAAATAACCTGACTTACAATGTATTGAAAATAAATAACTCAGCATGTCTTTTAAGCCATTTTATAAATGCTATTCTCAAGTATGAGATGGCACCAGATTCTTCCAAAATTCATCTTTTTTCAATTTTTTTCGGGAAAACTTCCCAAATCTTTTAATAATACAATGTATAAATATCATGAATATTAATGTACTTGAAATGTCTGAAAATGGGTTTCATTTAACTTGAGGTATATTGTCTCAAGAACATTTACCCCACTTTTATTACAGGGACGTAACTACATTGAGGCAAATGCCTATTGTTGGAAATTTTAAAAACAAAAGCTTGTCTTCATATCAGATTGTTTTCACGGCGAGTGTCTTGCAAGAAGCAAGGTCTGTTCACCCTCTGACGTAGCCCCCGTTTTTCAGGATCAATGTTTCTCATTTATTTTTAGTTTTCAGTGTTAGTTGTCTATAGTTTGTCGCTTTGTGTTTTATCTGTTCCCGGATTTGTCTTTGTTCATTGATTCTTTATTCTCTTAGTGTTGCATCCCATCGGTAATATAGTAATTTTTGTTTTAAATCTAAATTTAATTAATTTGAAGGACTTTTTATCTAATTTTACAAACTACTTTAAATTGTATCCCAGTAAGGAACTACATCAAGTTGTAATTGAAATGTGTTATAAAAATTTACTTGACATAGTTATATCAATTTTTATCAGCCCCCTCTTAACTTAATTTGAAAAAAACCCACATAATTGACAGGAATAAAAGATTTTCTGCAAGCAGAAACACAAAAAAAAAAGAAAAAAAAAAAACCAGCAGCCACATACTTTACTATGTGAATTACATTTTTGCTTTATCCTACATATTAGTCTTTTGATGTTGTACCTAAAAACTAAAAGTCTTAAAACACTGACTCTATATATTTTGCTTTGAGACCAAAATATTGTCGAAAAAGTAAAGAACGCAGAACTTGCGTTTCAGATTAAGAAAGGGTCTGGGAAACGCGCAGAATGCAGTATTTTGTATCATTTTTTCTATAGCTTCTTGCGGCCACCCAAACCCTTTGCCGAAATTTTTTTCGCTTCGCTCCGCTCAGCGAATTTCTTTGTCATTACTTTTAAAGAAAACTATAGTTAAAGCAAAATTAATACATTGCCGTACGTATGCAATGTATGCAGTTTGGAATTCAGAAGATTCACTTCCAGAGGATGATGATTAACTCTGATTATATGGTGGTACATAATGACTTGACTATACATGTAACCTATATTTAAGAATAAAAAAATGAATTTAAAAATTGTGTGTTTTCAAATATTATATTAAAATATAATTGTGAAAATAAATAAGCAGTCCCTTGTTTTAATGAAAATGAAAAATCATGCCCCCCCCCCCTAGAATATCAAATGGTCGTCCCCTAAGTATTCTGCAAGTCTTTTGTCGTCATCATTTGAATCCGTATTCAGCTTTCATGTTGATTTTGTGTCTTTTTCAACACGAGTTACATATTCGTTAGCCAATTCAAGGGTTACAAGCAGGTGTCCGGATCGTAACCTTTGGCTAGAAACCTTAATGTGCGAGTTGTTACGTTAAACAAAATTGATTTTATCTTATTTTTGTCTCGCCTAAGTCGCAGTATGCGAGACAGTGATTACAACCCGGCGGCGGCGTCATACATAATTAGTATAAAGATTTCTACCTTGTATATAGATGGCCCAAGCATCATAGTTCAGCGACTGCTTGAGAAGTTTTTTTCTGAATTGTATATTTTTTACTTATTACAGCCGATTTCAATGTGTGTGTAGCTAAAGGTAATATCTTTGGTTAGCTTGCTTGCTAGCTGAACTGTGAAGTCATTGTTAGGTAAGGTATACTACCCTCCTTTCGAAGTAGCCTAGTCCTACAGACAGATAGGTTGGTTTTCTGTCGGACTAGTCTACTCTTAAAGGAGGGTAGTTTACCTAACCTAACAATGACTTCACGGTTCAGCTAGCAAGCAAGCTAACCAAAGATATTACCTTTGCCTACACACTCATTGAAATCGGCTGTATGAGTAATAAAATAATTACATTTGGTCTATGAAATCCTTGCAAGGTCTACATGTCCGTCAGACAGGGCTCACCTAACCTCGACCTCATTTCATGGGTCAGTAATCAAGGTTAAAGTTACATGAATAGGTCAATTTCCAAGATATTATAGGCAAGAGTTTAACTATATTTGGTCAGGGGGGTGGGGAGTTGAAAAAAAATAAGTTAAGATATGTGTAACAATTCATTTTTAATTTTTAAAATTTTTTGTTTCATACAAAGATATATTACATTACTCGCTATTTCATTAGAGATTATGTAATAATTTGACATATTTTTTTTTAAACAACTAAGACGAAAAAAAATTTCTCAACCTATAATGCCGTTAAATTGACGGTTTCCGGAATCTTCATTTTGTTTTTACTTGTTTGTACTATCCTATCTATAATTTTGCAGAATTATAATTAGCAAGCAAGTAATTTGTAAATGAAATTTCCGGCCAAAGACAATCCAGGGTTACATATTTATCGGAATACCCATAATATCTTTTTTTAAAGTCTTGATACAAAATGATAGCAGAAAACATACAATAAGACGCAGTAAACCCCCATGTGACGATTGTGTTTCCATCAACCTCATCACTGAAAAAATAACTTTGAACCTGGTTTCCAGCAATTTCGAATTTTTGAGTGGTATAATCATCTTTAAGAAATCTCTTCAGTGGTAGGCTAAAAACTTTATGAACTTCGTATTCGTTTATCACAGGCTTAAAATTGTTAGGAATGATTCCAACTACAACAGTTACCATAACATTTGGTCGGATAAATGACTCTGGAAGCACCGAAATAACCTCGACTTTATTTGGATCAAGGCCAATTTCCTCTTCAGCTTCACGGAGGGCCGTTTCAATGTCATCAAGGTCGTTGGAATCTTGTTTCCCACCAGGAAAGGCAACTAGCCCTGAATGAGAGCGTAGGTGTTTAGAACGAACAGTCAATAATACATGCCATTCCCTATCCAATAGAAAAAGTGGAACAAGAACACTTGCCTTGTCAAAAACAGGTGGCGTGCTTGTTTTGTCTTTCAGTCTAATGTCATGTTTACTAAACCGTTTTCGCACATTTTCTGATGAAATATATACCCCTGAAAAAAAAGAAGTTTGACAAACTCTATTAAGATCTATTAAATTGTCCCAAACATTAATACATTTTAATACCAACGAAACAATACCCGGACGACTACGTAAATTTTAGCGTCCACAATAAATTCTGGTATATATCTGCAAATCCACCCACAGTAAATTCGAGCATGAAATCCTCCCATTCGCACGTTAGGTATGCATAAATTGGCCTTGAAGATTAATTGTAAGAATTTTTATACATCGTTTAAATTGCAAACTAATAATTCACATTTTCCAATCAACAGTTTGAAAACAGGGCAAAAAATGAATTAAATACAATTTTTCAAATAAACAACTCATCATTTCCGACGCACAAAGCCTCATATTGTAAAAAAAATTTGAAAAAAAAGGAAATTGATGTAAGTACCTATATGTCACCTTCAACAATGAGCAAAACCCAAACCGTATATTTTAAGCTACTAAAGGCCCCGACAAAACAAAAAATGTATTACAATTAAAACGAGAAAAACAACGTTCTGATTTATGGTAAAACACTACCGACAAAGTCAGCAACCGACGACAACCACTGAATTACACATTCCAGGAATTCATTATTTGGCATACTGTCCATGTAATTTACAGACATGACTGAACCCTAACAGAAATAGAAGAGAAAAACAACATTTGACTGTTTTGTGTGCTATATAGTAAGTGGTTGAACATTCATATAGAATTCACATAATTATATAATTGGTGATAGTCCTTGATTCCTCGATCCCCGACTCAGTGCAGACGTTTTTCTTAAGATCCCTATGTTGGCGATTTCATTTTTTGGTGTGTGTATAATTTGCATTGGAATTTTTTGGTGAAAAATCATAAAAAAAAATAAACATGCGTAATACTATATATAATGCTGTAAACTCGTGAAGTGTAGATTTTCGACGTTTGGTCAATGCAGATATCTTATCAGATAGAATGTGTTACCCCATATTCTTTCTTTTCTATTAATGAAAATGTGTATACAGCCGCAATATATCAATTTCTGCATGTGGAGCTGGATCTGCTTGCCCTTCAGGAGCTTTTGAGATCACTCCCGATTTTTTGCTGGGTTCGTGTTGCTCATGCAGTCTTTAGTTTTCTCTGTTGTGTTTTGTATTCTGTTGTTTTTTGTTGTTTTTTTTTGGTTTTTTTTTGTCGTTTTTCGTTTTTTTCCCATGACATTGTCAGTTTGTGTTTCGACTTATGAGTTGGAATACCCCTTTGGTATCTTTCGCCTCTCTTTTTTGTTCATACTATTTATAATTTTTCTCTTCTATGCAGTGATTTGTAAGTATTGCTATAGTCATTGGTCTGATAATCAGTTCCGTATACACAATATCATAAAACTAATGGTATACCATAATGGTTGTTCTCATTTTTGCTCTTGAACTGAAGTTCATCTGTAAGATGAAGAGGAAGCTGTGCATTTCGAGTATTTTGGATGAATATAAAAATAAGAAGATGTGGTATGATTGCCAATGAGACAAATCTCCACCAGGCACCAAATGACGAAGAAGGTTAGCATCTGCAGGTCACCTATGCCGCCAACAACGAGCAAAACCCATACCGCATGACAAGCATTAAAAGGACCCCGAAATAACAAATGTTAAACAATTCAAAGGAGAAAACTAACGGCGTGTGTACAAAAGAACAAACGAAAAACCAATATGATAAACAGCAACAAACGACAACCACCCAACTACAGGCTACTATCTTGGGACAGCGCTTACAGAATGTGGCGGGGACAAGTTTGCAGACGCGCCAACCCTCCCTAACCAGGGACAGAAGTGTGACAGCACAATATAAGATCAAACTATAAAAAATCAGCAAAGTTGAAAAGGGCTTAACTCATCAGATCGAGACAAAGCACAAAAACAACTAATTGGTCTTGCGTTTGGATTTACATCATTTTCATTTGAGAATGGAAATGGGGAATGTGTCAAAGAGACAACAACCCGACCAAAGAGCAGAAAACAGCCCAAGGCCACCAATGGGTCTTCAACACAGCGAGAAAATCCCGCACCCGGAGGAGGGCTTCAGCTGGCCCCTAAACAAAATGTGTACTATAGTTCAGTGAAAATTGACGTCACAATAAACTCCGAAACATATAAATGAACTAAATTAAAAAAAACATACAAGACTAACAAAGGCCAGAGGCTCCTGACTTGCGACAGGCGCAAAAATGCGGCGGTGTTAAGCATGTTTTGTGAGATCTCAACCATCCCCCTACACCTCTATATAGCCAATGTATAATAACAAACACACAGCAATACGCACAGTAAAATTCAGTTTAAAAGAAGTCCGAGACCGATGTGATATATATATATGAACATTGAATATGATGTTACAAACTTGATTTCGAGTCTTTTTATATATAAAGACAAGGTAATGGTGCTTTATCTAAAGTAATGCTTGTAATAAGACCATTTTAGGAGTTGGTATATATAGCAGTCATGTTTGGTTTGCAAGATTAATCATTTTACAACAGTTAATGTATATATTTATTTATTAATGTGTGTTTGCGTGTGGTAAAGACTGCTCGAAACGAGAAGTTCGCGTCTAAACTGTCACCAGACAATTAGCGTCTTTTTTGGTGTGCTTGGTGTAAGCATATGGCAAATAGATATGCTTCATCCGTTTTTGTTTGGATAAGTTCTGATGATAACAGCTCACTATAGGTACATTGGAAATAGCCTTAGTTTATGGTGGCTGGATGCGGCCAGTTCGCGTTTTCGCGTTTTCGCGTTTTCTCCTTTCACTCTCACGCGAAATGGAGAAATCGAGAAATCGGGAAATCGGGAAATCGAGAAATCGAAATCGAGAAATCGAGAAATCGAGAAATTGGGAAATCGAGAAATCTATTTCATTTCGCGTTTTCGCGTTTTCGCTTTCTCGATTTCTCGATTTCCCGATTTCCCGATTTCCCCCATTTCTCCATTTCTCGATTTCGCGTTTTCGCTTTCTCGTTTACTCGACGTCCCGATTTCTCGATTTCTCGATTTCGCGATTGCAAAGTGAAAGGAGAAAACGCGAAAACACGAAAAGGTGAAATGGCCGCATCCGGCCACCATACTTAGTTGTTTGTTGATGGCTATGCTGGCTGTATCCAAGTATTTGTATAGTAAGGGATACAGCAATGATTACTACACAAATCCTTGCTGTAAGACAGCATCAATTTAAAAGCACTGAGACTTGTTCCTGTATTATTAGGAATCACAGTATATTGCAAAACTCATCCCATTTTTTAAAAACCACATAATTGTCCTTTTCTATATCTGTAAATATTTCAGTTTCACACAGAAAACTCTATATCAAAATTTACGACAACAAAGGACGATTTTTCGTTCATATTGTTAACGCTTTTTTTTTTGGAATGTGATATGGCCTCTTTTTCAGTGCGTATATTTCCAAAGTCGTTTTGTAGTGACGTTTTAGATTTCAATGAATGTAATCTTCGTATTACTAGTAAATTATTTCGTTACCTTACTTGCCTGTTCTAAATTTTTTTTAATTCTTTCGTAGATACAAAGATTTGCTTTGGCAGTTTCGTAATACATGCCGAAATCTCACTGCAAACATAACTTTTATAGTTTGTTCTAATGTTGTGCTGTCACGCCACTGTCCAAGATGAGGGAGGTTAAGCGCTTACGCTAGCCTGTTTAACCACTTTTACATTATGTATGTGCCTGTAAGAAACCTGGTTGTCGTCGATTTTTTCTGCCTACGGTATACCTTTTTTTTCGTTTTTTTTTTATTTAGCATAAATCAGACCGTTGGTTTTCACATTTTGCCATGCCGCTGCCTAAAGTTTCACTATAATACGCGGACTTGGTTTTGCTCATTGAATGACGCAGCGTACAGCTTCTAGTTACTTACAACCGTGCGCGTGCTTCGTGGTCTCTGGGTCTCACTTTCAATAATACCACATTCCTGACCTTATGTTTATATTGTGTACATATACGATTATTGAGATGTTACTGATTTCTGATGGTAACCCATATCCCATGCAGTGCTCAATATTTATCTTTTTTCAAATGAAGGATGTCGCCCACGATTCTGGAATACTTATAAAACGTTGATCATCATACTCAGAATTAATTATGTTCTGCAACGTAAAATTAAATATGTCTAAGCTGCGACAAAATCTGGCATTTTTGACGTGAAGTATACCAATTATAGATCCTCCCCCAGTTTTAAGTATTTTTGTTACCTAAGTACACTAAACTATACTTTTATTGAATGTCGCCCTCTCCAGCAGATCAATCAAAAATCGATAATTGAAAAGACAACAAATTAATCGGACAGAACATTCAGTATAATAAATCAAAAAACACATGAGGGTCTGTGCAGAATATAGAGAATAATGGGCAAAACAAAGAATGGAGACGAAAAGGCCATACACTTAAAGAAAGGAGAATGATGGGGAAAAAACGAAAATCATATATGCGTTATGTATATATTGTTATATCTTCTTCCGAGGTCTTCGTACACTTTTTTTTACACAAATACACTTTCTGTATCTGTATCCCTTTTGGAAATAGCCTTACAGTTCGGCATTTTTGTCTTTACCATACATTTTTTTCAAAACAACTCACAATCAGTTTGTTATATAAACTAAACAAAAAGAAAATGCGTAAACGCAAAAATACATTTCAAAATCCTTAAACCATTAACCGAATTTATGAAATATACGTCAATAGTTTATTTTTAACAACCAATGAAAACTGCGAAAAGCAACAAGCCTTCAATCACTGCAATAAACGTGGCTATGTCTAGAAACATTCCGAATAAGTCGCACCAAAAGGAAACAAAAGAAAGGAAAGCTCCTGTGTTTATATTAAACTAACAAATGACAATAAAAAGGAGTACTACAAAGTTACACATAGGAACACATAAGAATGCCAACATTTGTTTAAACATCATAAGACAATAAATCAACTGTTAATTTGCTGCTAATTTCATTTAACAAGGTAGGACCTTGGTGATTAAAATTCAACATGGCGGATTTCTGATTATTTGCCAAATTCTAACCTATATTTAAGCTTTCATCGTTTCATTAGTGCAATCAGTGTATTAAAGGCATATAATGTAAAGTTTTTTGTATATTCAAAAGTATTTGGGATTAGTGATGTTGGAAGATGGATTAAACTAAAATTTTCTTACTTTCATTCATCCTGTTGCATGTGATCGGCGAAATGAGCCGAGTGCAACCGAATAGTAGGTAATTTCCCTTAAAGTTTATTTTGGGGTCAACTGTACCTTAGCTGTTCAGAGAAGTATGACTTACTACTTCCAAATTATGCACAGCTTTGCACACTTTAATTTCAAACATAAGTGATAATATTTTCAAAACAACGATATAAGTATTTGTTGAGATGTTTTGATAGGTTGTACCCCTTATTTCTTTATTTTATTAGTATTGGTACAATTTACATGTTTAAACTCCCGATAAATTTCTTCAGATTTTACCCTCATCCCGTGAGGTTTTGACTTGAAAATGCTGTGTGTACTTTTGTCTCGCATTCGACGCAAGTGGCGGAAGCAAGACTTAGGTATTGCTTTTCCGGCGGCGAAGGAGGAGGATGCTTTAACAATTGATTAGTTTTCTGCTTAATTCAGTTTGAAAGGAACTATTGTGATAGATCAATGATATTTTGAATAAAGTTGTATTACCAGCTGATTACTACAATGTATCAGTACATACATTGTACATGTATCAGTTTGTCCAGCGACTTTCAATTAATAAGCAATTTTCAATGTTAAGTTTGATAGAAACTACTTGTGATAGATCAATAATGTTTTCTATAAAATTGCATTACTATCAACTTACATATCAGTTTGACAGCTATTTCGAGGCCCTGCTTCCTAGGTCAAGGTCCAGCGACTTTCAATTAATAAGCAATTTTCAATGTTAAGTTTTCTGCTTTAGTTAGTTTGATAGGAACTAATTGTGATAGATCAATGATATTTTCTTTTAAGTTGCATTACTATCAGTAAATATCAGTTGGATGACTTTTTCGAGGCCCTGTCCCATAGATCATGGTCCAGTGACTTTGAATTGATTAGCAATTTTCTATGTTAATTTTTCTGCTTAAGTCAGTTTGATTGGAACTTCTTGTGTTAGATTAATGATATTTCCTATAAAGTTGCATTACTATCAGTACAGATCAGTTTAATGACTATTTCAAAGCCATGGTCCAGCGACTTTGAATTGTTGCAATGTTGCTGTCCATCTAGACATATCTCTGTGTAAATAGTTTATTTATGATAATTTATTGCATCAATCCTTCAGCCTTTTTTTTCTTCATTTTCCTATCTACCCCAGTATTACAAATTTTAAAGGGAAAACACAGAATGTATAAAGAATATGAAGATGTGGTATGATTGCTAATGAAACAACTACAACACAATGTATCCATCAAAGTCCAATTGAAGTGGATTTAAGAAACTATAAGTCACAGTACAGCCTTCCACAATGATCAAAACTAATACCGTATCATCAGCAATAAAAGGCCCCGACATAACAAAATGTTAAACAATATAAACCAACAGCCTGATTAAAGACAAAACAATAAACGAAAAACAAAATAGGACAGACAGCAACCAATGACAACCACTGAATTACAGGTTCCTGACTTTGGACAGACATCTACATGTATAGAATTACATGTAGATGAGAATGTATATCAGATGAAGTCATTTTGTTTTGATTGAATTATACATTGTATTAATTAGAATTAAAACAACTGGAAAAATCTACAGTTAATGCAGAAGTGGTTAGAAATGAATGACATAATTATTACCTAAGAGTGCATTGACAACTATATATGGTAGCTGTATTGACATAGATGATAAATGCAGTGATATTGATTATTGTATAAAGTACAGTCTACCCATAAATCTAACAGATAAGCTAGATTTGCAAATTGTAAAGTTAAGAAGTCTAGCAGGTATGATTTTTGACAATCAAATCTTAAGTAGTTTGAACATTGTTTTTACAAGCTTACAGGTGTACATAATCCAATTAAAATTTTACAATCGAAAAGGAGGGCAGACCTCTAAGAATTCTGAATGATCAAAATGGCTAATTTTTGAATTGTTTACCTTTGTTTCCATGGTCATTTAAAGTTTTTTTGCAGCCCTTATAATAACCCTACAGATATAGAACCAAGCCCCGTCCAGAGGAATATATATATATATATATATAGTAGGTTTGGACGTTGTTTTCAATTTAGACTTATTTATATTTTTTCGTTTGGGCTTGTATTATATTTGCCTTTGGGTTTATATGATCCGTTCATCCTGTTTTGACTCTTCAAAATTCAAGAGTCTATCCTAAATTGAGGTAAATTATATGGCCTTCCAAATACCATTTCGATTCCTAACATCACTGAAGAGACATTAATTGTCGAAATCCGGATATGGTGTACAAATTTTTGCACCTCATGTTTGCGGTATACCATCTTTTCTGCAAGTTTATTGTTTTCTGTTTGGTATTAAATTAATAATAATAATCCATTTTGTTACATCTTGTGATCCGTTTATTTGGCAATCGCCAATGGCAGTCAGCAGAGTTTAAGAACATCAGTTGTTCGACCTGTTAGTCAAATGCGTTTTGTTAAAATAGACTTTTTCACTTTATTTGGTTTTTTGGAAAATGTTGTTTGTGCTGTATTTAGACCCCTCTACCAAGAAATTTGTTTTGCATGCACACGTATAAAAATTGCGGTTTTTATCCAATGCAATCATAGGTTTGGACGTTGTTTTCAATTTAGACTTATATATATATAGAGTACATATTTCACACAAAATAGTTCCTACGCATAGCTGTAATTTTTATACGACCGCAAAAATTAAAAATTTTTTGGTCGTATATTGGTATGACGTTGGCGTCGTCGTCCGGCGTCGTCCGAAGACACATTGGTTTTCGCACTCTAACTTTAGTTTAAGTGAATGGATCTCCATGAAATTTTACCATAAGGTTCAATACCACGAAAGGAAGGTTGGGATTGATTTTGGGGGTTATGGTACCAACAGTTAAGGAATTAGGGGCCAAAAATAAGCATTTTTGTAACTTCCAGACAATAACTTGTGTGTAAGTGTATGGATCTCTCTGACATTGTACCACAAGGTTCCATATCACATAGGGAAGGCTGTAATTGATTTAAGGGGTAATTGCCTCAAAATTTTAGGAATTAGGGGCCAAAAAGGGGCAAAAAACAAGCATTTTTCTAGTTTCATGACAATTACTTGTGTGTAAGTGTTTGGATATTTCTTAAATTGTACTACAAGGTTCCATATCACAAAGGGAAAGCTGGAATTGAGTTTGGGGGTAATTGCCCGAAACGTTTAGGAATTGGGGGCCAAAAAGGGGCCAAAAATAAGCATTTTTCTAGTTTCCAGACAATAACTTGTGTTCAAATGTATGGATCTCTCTGAAATTGTACTGCAAGATACCATACCACAAAGGGAAGGCTGGGATTGAGTTTGGGGGTGATGAACATAAGGGGGTTCAAAAAATTTGGGGGGGGGGGGGTTTCTATTTTTTTCTTTTTTTCCTTTTTTTTTTCTTTTAAAATTTTCCATTTTAAGTTGGTTATTTCTGATTTATATTTAAAAGCAAATAATAATGATATGGAAGGAGATACACACCAAACAGGATGTGTAAATTATTATACAATAAGTATTGTGCAATAGCAAGAAATTTTCAATTGCACAGTATTGCACAATAGCAAGAAATCTTCAATTGCACAGTATTGCACAATAGCAAGAAATCTTCAATTGCACAGTATTGCGCAATAGCAAGAAATATCCAAAAGCACAATATTGCGCAATAGCAAGAAATTGTCAATTGTACAGTATTGCGCAATAGCAAGAAATATTCAATTGCACAGTATTGTGCAAAAGAATATACTTCGTATAAATTGCTTATTTCTTGATCAATTTCAATGGGGTTTTATTCTTGAATTCTTGGGGTTCTTTAATATGCTGAATCTGACCATGTATTAAGTTTTTGGATTTTGGGCCCCGTTTTTAAATTGGTCCACATTGAGGTCCAAAGGGTCCAAAATTTAACTTTGTTTGATTTCATCAAAAATTGAATTATTGGGGTTCTTTGATATGCCGAATCTAACCGTGTATTTAGATTCTTAATTTTTGGTTCCGTTTTCAAATTGGTCTACATAAAGGTCCAAAGGGTCCAAAATTAAACTTAGTTTGATTTCAACAAAAATTGAATATATGGGGTTCTTTGATATGCTGAATCTAACCATGTATTTAGATTTTTGATTATGGGCCCAGTTTTCAAGTTGGTCCAAATCGGGGTCCAAAATTAAACTTTATTTGATTTCAACAAAAATTGAATATATGGGGTTCTTTGATATGCTGAATCTAACCATGTATTTAGATTTTTGATTATGGGCCCAGTTTTCAAGTTGGTCCAAATCGGGGTCCAAAATTAAACTTTGTTTGATTTCAACAAAAATTGAATATATGGGGTTCTTTCATATGCTGAATCTAACCGTGTATTAAGTTTTTGGATTTTGGGCCCCATTTTTAAATTGGTCCTCATTGAGGTCCAAAGGGTCCAAAATTAAACTTTGTTTGATTTCATCAAAAATTGAATTATTGGGGTTCTTTGATATGCCGAATCTAACCGTGTATTTAGATTCTGAATTTTTGGTTCCGTTTTCAAATTGGTCTACATAAAGGTCCAAAGGGTCCAAAATTAAACTTAGTTTGATTTCAACAAAAATTGAATATATGGGGTTCTTTGATATGCTGAATCTAACCATGTATTTAGATTTTTGATTATGGGCCCAGTTTTCAAGTTGGTCCAAATCGGGGTCCAAAATTAAACTTTGTTTGATTTCAACAAAAATTGAATATATGGGGTTCTTTCATATGCTGAATCTAACCGTGTATTAAGTTTTTGGATTTTGGGCCCCGTTTTTAAATTGGTCCACATTGAGGTCCAAAGGGTCCAAAATTAAACTTTGTTTGATTTCATCAAAAATTGAATTATTGGGGTTCTTTGATATGCCGAATCTAACCGTGTATTTAGATTCTGAATTTTTGGTTCTGTTTTCAAATTGGTCTACATGAAGGTCCAAAGGGTCCAAAATTAAACTTAGTTTGATTTTAACAAAAATTGAATTTTTAGGGTTCTTTGATATGCTGAATCTAAACATGTGTTTAGATTTTTGATTATGGGCCCAGTTTTCAAGTTGGTCCAAATCGGGGTCCAAAATTAAACTTTGTTTGATTTCAACAAAAATTGAATATATGGGGTTCTTTGATATGCTGAATCTAACCATGTATTTAGATTTTGGATATTGAACCATAATAGGTGAATGTCCAATTTAAAATTTTTAAGTTCTTAGACCACATTCATTCTGTGTCAGAAACCTATGCTGTGTCAAATATTTAATCACAATCCAAATTCAGAGCTGTATCAAGCTTGAATGTTGTGTCCATACTTGCCCCAACTGTTCAGGGTTCGACCTCTGCGGTCGTATCAAGCTGCGCCCTGCGGAGCATTTTATTTTAAATATTTGGGTAATTTTTGTATGAAATGAAACCAATGAAAGTACTTGGAATCTCTGTTAAATGTTTGTTGAATTTTTATTTTGAATAGTAATATAATTGTGTGAAATTGAAATAAAAGGGCATATCATTTTAGTTTCTCAGTTCAGATCGATGTACCTGTTTTTGTATTTTCTGACTCGAGAGAATCAGTGCCATCTTATATGCAATTAAGGTGCACGTGCATATTGAGAGTTTCAATACAAGCCAGACTAAGGTATTGTTCTGACATTAAATGACTGTCACTTTATTTAAACTTGAGACTAAATGGCTGTAAATGCCCGAAATTGGTGAATTTAAAATAAAATGTAATTGAGCCATGAATTAGTGCAGGGTTCTCAAAAAGGATTTTTTAAAGGCGAGTTCAGTGACTCGTCATTATTGGCCATGACAAGTCCAATGATGAGATGATGAAAATCTATTTTCTATATAATTTATTTTTCAAGTCTCTATGACAAAATAGAGTAAGGAAAGGACTTCAGATTTAGATTATTTTAAAACTTTTGTTTTAAAATGATGATATATCATTATGTTTTCTGTCAATATGTCATTTTATAATCTTGATGCATATTTGGACTCACCCATTTTAAATCTGATGAGTCCAGACAGATTTTCATGAGTCCAGGACTCATGAACTGGCCTTAGTGAGTGAGAACCCTGTCAGTGGTGTGGTACCTACAGGTTTCAAGCTTGAAAGTTTTTATTTTACACATAAATTAAAATTTATACCTGCATACTATACTTGAAGTGTGTGTATTTTCAAAACTTTAATTTTGTAAAATGTCAGTATACATAAGATACATACAATGAACATATACTTATGTTTTTCTTCTTCAGATAGGTTATACACAATGCAACCAGTGTCCTAGATGAAATATGAAGATCACCTGCTTATTTTGGGTAAGTTGATTGCACTAGATGGATATGATTTTCTGTGGTGAATAATTACAAAATCTAACCTAGATTATCATGATTATCTGAATGAAGTAGACTAAGCAAATTAAATGTTTTATGAATAAAAAATATGGGATAAATGTCCATGAGACAGTAACCCAATGGCACAAATATCTAGGAAGGTCAACTTGAAGAATTGATAATTAATTACTCATTGATTATACCAAGTAATACACAAGTACTTGCACAGAAAAATATCTACAGATTGGAACAAATTTTATGCTTTATCTCTTTTTGGTCGTTCTCTAAGGGACTTTAAACCTTCTACGTTATTATCAGGAATTGTTAATAGCTCATTTACTACATGTACTAATTAGTGAACAATAATCTAATCAATCATTTAATAAACACCTTTTGAATTATAATGATTACAAAGTCAAACCAGATCAAACAAGAGCTATACTTTGTAATCCTACAAAACTGATTTTTAAGTAATTTAATATGGAAAAATCCATAATTTTGTACTTTGAAAGAGAAATTTTAATTCTTGACCAGTTCCGATTAGACGGGCTTCACTGAATGTATACATAGACATCACATGACATCTTAAAAGAAATATCAGTTAGTTCAGGTTCCTTTATTTTCCATATTTATTTGCATGTAAACAAATGTAACAGGTTTTATTAACGAACCCATATTCTGCAAGGACTTACTTACTTCATAAATAGTTTCATAATTGATTGAGACATATTATATTGTAAACCAAGTAATACTTTGCTTTGGAGGGTAATAACCTCCATTGTTGACTGTTATCTTTGGCATTTGACTTTATTGATTAGTATATTTTGCATAACTTTGTGCTTCATTAGTAATGTTTGTTTTAAAGGTACAATGTCCTAAGGGGATGTTAAAACTCAGTTGTATTGACTTGTCCATTTGAAAGTTAAACGTACATTTATCTAGTTTAATCTTTGTAGTTCAAATGTCATTAGTTGGCATTAGTCTTTCCTTGTGTGTTAACAATTAACATATGGATCTACCCTCTAAGACTTTGTGGACCATTATTTATTTAATCAAAATATTCTTTTAATTGTGAGTTAAAAGTTTAACTTCAAGTAAACATTATTTAATAATTTCATTGTTAATCAAATACAAAGTTTTACCAAAGTAATACATCATGTACATGTATATGCTTTTGTTTTTATGCCTTGTACGTCTGTAAGTCCGTCTGTACGCCCTGAAATTGGTTTCCATTCTCTAATTTAAACTTATACACAAGGCTTATTACCACAAAACTCAGATCAAGTACATGTATGAATTTGGGTAGCGTCAAGGACACATTCCCCATTTATTTTTTTATGCCCTTGCAAAAAGGCAACCCTGGCAACCTAGTTTAACTTTAGTAAATAGTCCAGAAATTGGTTTCTAAATGCTATTACTTTAGTAATCCTCTATCAAATCACCTCAAATTTGTAAATGCTGTTTGGGACTGCAAAACATAAATCTAGTTTGAATTTGACTCCTCTGACACTGTTTGAGATAGAATAAAAATTTGCGTGTTGTGAACAATATAGAAATGTCAGTATTTGCCCTAAGGTCAGAGTAATGGGCTAAAATGTATTTCTTGTTATCTAGCTAGTAACTGTTAACTAGTAAAATCTTTTAATCTACACTGTACTAAGCCTGGGCATTGGTAATGGAAGCACATATGACAGGTCAAATTATAAATGCAAACTTAACTGGGGGGTGGGGGAGGCAGGATTGTTTTCAGTTTAAATCAAGATGTTGGTTTTCACTTTTGAATTGATTCAAATTTTGTCATTCTTGGTCTTTTAGGGCTTACTATGTGGCAATTGTTTTTTCTATTGTTGAACGCCATTTATTTACTGTCTCATCCCCTGGGCTCTGGTGGATAGTTGTCTCATTGCCAATCATGCCACATCTCCTAACTTTTATACAGTATAAAGCATAGGCTTGTTAATATTTTGTATTACCTGTGTATAACTGAAACAAGGCTTAATGAATCGTAAAATGAATAAATTGTATTTAATTACAAATTTAAAGTGTTTCACCTTATATAAGCTGAAACCTAAGAGGACATTTTGAGTAGTAAGGGCAAGTATGGCAACAACAAAATTCCCTTTCTGTTTAGGAGGCTTTCTTTTAGTATGTTTTTTTTTAAACAGAAAGATAACAGAATTCTTTGCATCAGCTTATCTGACCGATTTAATATAATTGATCTTGTTTGTGAAAACATGTTCAAGGTTGTTGCATACATTACCTGTCTTTTTTTTTTTATTTCCATAAAAAGTTGTCAATTTTAGTTAATATCCCATCTGTCATCACTCTATAATGATATTTACATGTTTACTGGCATAGTGATGTAGATACCATACAGATACTTTAAACAACTACATGGCTGATTAAGCTGATGTTTGATTTTTTAACAAGGTGAATATAAAGGTAACAAATATATTTATTGCCAGAGGTCCTTGCACCTCAGAACATAGTTATTCATTCAGACAAGTTTACCAAATGTCATGTCTAATTGAAAATAAAAAAATGCATGGAATTGAATTGCTACATTTATTTAAAATCTCCATTGTGCAATTGAAACAATGTTAATGAATGAAAATGTTTTTTTTTTTTACTAACAAGTTTTGGAAAATTAGATTGATCATTTAACACATGATCATAATGTATAATGACCCTGCCACTTGTAAAGTGATACCCATGTCCTGAAATATAGGGTTGTCAGGACTTTTTTTGTACTAACTGTCTGCAGATGTGGAGCTGTTTTTTTTGGCACATTAGTGTGTCAACAGCATCAGTTTTGGGGTTTATTAGTGTATATGACTTACAGATGGAGTTTGTGTTTTGTTCCAGTTAAGTAACGTTTTTGGCATAATTACCGCAGACTTTTTTGGTGATAAGGGACATTAGCGTAAGCTAAGGGGTTAAATTGAAGGTCACATGAATACTGATTCAATGAGGTTGAATAATTCACTTGCAAATGAATAATTCATCGGTGATGTTTCTTTTGACAAAATTAAACCAAATTGGCCGGTAAAAGCGAATTATTATTTCCCACAGTGTATATAACTTTCATTATGGTAATGATTGAACAAAAAAAACATCATGTTTAAATATTTTCATATCTCGTAGCTAATGCCCCTTTAATGTTAGTCTTTTTAAGGTGATTAGTGATCAATGACATTAAATATAACTGTTTAATTTTCTCTTGAAATCAGGATATGAAATGGATTTACACGATATCCGATATAGCTTTATATATAGATACCAAATGAGTGACATGGGTGTTTTGACATTTTTAAATGAAATAACCAGGGATGTATTTTGAATGGTAAATGGAATTGAACTTCAGAAAGAAAAAAAAAACATGTTGCATTTCTAAACATAGAAAATTATTACATGCTAGATAAAAGTACATTATTCTGTCAGCGTTTACAGCAAACAGGAAACACAGAACCCATTAGTGGATTTTCTCTGGAAGAAATGAGCTGTGGAAAAATTAAAAAGCACATTGTGACATTAAACGTTTTATTTTTCTTACTTAAAGCTTTTAACGAATCATCATTAAAATTTCTATTTGGTCTGGCTTTTTTTCAACATTTGTTTTACAGTTTGTGCAAAGTAATAATGTACTGGTAGTGCTTCTTAAACCAAGAACATTACCTGTAACAAGGGTGTATCATGAAAAAGGTAAAATTCAGTTTTCTGGCATTAAAAAACTATTCATTCAGAAAATTAAAGACTGCAATACTGGTAACTGTATGGCTATTAACTGAAATGCTTTATACATAATACTGGGTTTTTTTTTTATTACAGAAACTAGAAAAGACAAGTTCTCAATACGAAAAGATCCATTGGCTATAGTATGGATATAATATCATCTGTGTATAGTGCCACAATTCAACCAGATATGAATTCTTCACCTTTTGATACAACTGAACAGGACCAGTCATTATTTAGAACACCAGAAAGTCCTATAGGTTTGACTTGTTCTAATCCATTGACCGTGAAGGTGGACCAAACTGACAGTCCACATACAAATTCACAAATATCATCACCACAAAGTGTACATTGTAAATCTCCATTAAGTGACCCATTTATAAGTAGTACATCAAATCTAGTTGATAGTGATTTTAATATATTATCTAGTGGTCAGACCTTAACTTCATTTTCATCCTCAATCACTCATCCCACTACATCAACGAAAGGAAATTCTGGAATACACGTAGAACAATTATTGACTTGTTCAGTATCCCCAAACATGATTCCGAGGATATGTAGTCCGCAGGATAGCTTGATATCCAGTCCAGTCAATGGAAGTGATACAATTTTATCATCTCCGGATGGCAATGTCATGGACTCTGCTAACACAGAATACACTCTTCTTGACCGTGCTGGACGTTTTAACATTAATGATGGTGATTCCCCTAATTTTGATGGTGTGAGGTTTGACCATGAACATGATCATGGCTTTGAACAACTTTTAGACTATGTTGTGACAGATTCTGATTCTCATAAAGTGCCAAAAGTCCGACGAGACTCAGATGCACCATCATCTATTAACAAGGAGGATGTGACAGTAGACAAGTTGTTTGAGGCTGATTTGGCCAATTCCACCGCAGAGTTTAGTTTTAGTAAGTTTGGATCTGAAGTTTCACAAGGAATATTTACGTTTGGAGGAAACAAACTATCTGGAGCTGATACTACAAGTACAAACACAACGCTACTGGTGTAAGTTTTTTGTCTTATTTTTGTGGATAGGGAAGATTGTCAAAGCAAAGCCACAAAATCTGTTATCTAGAGAGGATAATACATATAAATGGCAAATATTATAGAAAAATCCAAAAGGTTGAAAATAAGCAGCACGAAAACAATGAGCAAACAGGAGAATTTTGTTTACATCTTGTGGAAAACTCAATGATCAGATTGGACAAAAAGCTGACACTATATTGTCAATAACATGGAAATGCGAACCCAATTATTTCCTCACTTAAGTTCCATTCAGTTTTATCACAACGGAAGTGCAGATTTTTTATTTTCTAAATTTGGTTGCATACTTATCATGCTTATAGTGCCCGTTATTAATTCTGAGAGAATTCTGGAAGGTCATAACCAGCATTGAACATGTTGAAGAGAGAAATTACTGTTTTGAGTATTAATAGGATTATTTTATTCACTTCCTGGTTATAATCAACAATAAAATTTGGACCATTTACTCAGATTATACTCCACCATATACATTTCAGATCACACACAATTTCATTGAAGTTGAAAGTTTAAAAAATGCCCTTGGAAAATATTACCATGACTACAGAGTTAATTAAGCACCTTTGAATGTTTTTCAACTCAATACAATACATTCAAAAGATGGTAGATTTTTATAAGGACTTCATTTTGTAGGTAAATGTAATTGACATACTGACTGGTATCTTGTCAAGTAGGTTCTTATTCCATGTGATATTATAATGAATTAATTGCCAATCACAGCACATGAAATAGAAGGTTTATTGCACAAAACAATTTACAAATATTTTAACCACCTTGCTGTGCATTGTATAAAAGAAAAAAGAGTACACCAATGTGTTAGGATACATTTTGTATTTTACTTAAATAATTTTATGAAATAATTTTTTTATACATTGTTATATGTGTGTTCCAAATAAAGATTTTCTGAATTAGGTATTGATCACTATATGTATATATATATATATATATATATTTCATTATTACATTGTAGAACAAGTGCAATTTCAGCACCAACTCTAACTACAATTTCAACAACTGCTCCTGTAACGCCAATTACAAGATCACAAAGAGGTCGACACTTAAAGGAACCAAGTCTCTGTCAACAGTATCCCAGTAGGACTGATAAGTATGAATTAAGAATACTTGAACAGCCTGAAGAACAACACAGAGCTCGGTATCTTACAGAGGGTAGTCGTGGGGCAATCAAAAATGTTTCTCAAGAAGGCAATCCTGCTGTAAAGGTAAATAAGTCATATATCTGTGGCTGTTGATCATTTTTTGAAGTAACAGTGGACAGTGACATCAAATATGCAATGTACAAAAATATATGTACACATTATAAAGATACCAAAAATAATTTTAGCAGTGATTAATGTACTTGTTACTGCTTTTTTGTCATTAAAAACAATGCAAGAGGAAAGAACTCCAACAACCTACTCAGGCTACTGATGTGAAAAACTATGAAAAAAATCATCGTTATCCTGTGTTATAACTCCAACGTATATCATGTATATAGCAGGGATCTTCATGGATGAAAATTTAACCATGGAGGAACTTTTACCCTGACAAAACCAAGCGTGTCGCGATCGAAATTATTTCATTCCTCCATGTTGTTGTAAGGAATAGTGAATAGACCCATATAATGTAATGTTTATTTTATTGATTTCATTATAGAACAACCAATATTTTCATTAATTGTCATTTGTAACCATTCCAATATCAAACTTGGCTCCTCTTAGTCAAGGATGACCACAATTCAGCTGCCCTGTTACCTTGAAAATCTTTTCCTGTAAGAAGGTTTCTGAGATTTTCTCTTGCTATTTTGGTCATTTTGTTTGGACATAAAAAGTTGGAATCTTTTTTCTCACTGTCAATTAAAATCTGAAGACATGATTCTGGATCGACAATTTGCAGCATCAACAACAAGTTTATATTCCTCTTTTGTAAAAAGTTGAACAGATTTTTGTGGAGGGTAATAGTTTAACACTGAAATGGTTTTAAAGGACCTTAAATTGAAATGCCGTAGTAATAGTCAATGCAAGTTGCATCTTTTAATTCTGAATGTATACCGGATGTTTTAAATTGATTGTAAACTACCCAATGAATTCAGAATTACGATACAAAGGATACGCAGTAACCCAAAAAGTTTTTTTGTAAAGACAGTTGATTGTTGATTGCTTAATGTCCAGTGGAAATAGTTCATGCATACTCAGGTTTGATAAATTGCTTAGAATGTTGGAAATAAAAGTATCCAAATACTAAACATTTCAATATAATTTGCTATTTCAGTTATTTGGTGATGTAGATAATGCCACATTACAAGTATTTATTGGAAATGATCAGGGTAGAGTAAAGCCTCACGCTTTTTACCAGGCCTGTAAAGTTTGTGGAAAGAATTCAACTCCATGTCAGGAGCGGGAGATAGACGGAACAATTGTTATAGAGATGGAAATGGACACAGTCAATGAGAAAACATGCTCGTAAGTCTCTCAGATATACAGATATGTGCAAAAAAGTGTTACTGAAAATTGTTACCATTTATTGGTAAAAAACAAAACAAAATATTATTATAGTTATTACTTATTCATTTCTGGATCTGCATTTATTAACTTTCACTAGTTTCTTCATATGAGCAATAGCAGACTCCTACTGCCAGGGATAATCGAGGAATTGATTAAGTTTTTTATGCCCCCGCCGTAGCGGAATGGGCATTAAGTTTTACCCTTGTCCGTCTGTACGTACATCCCAAAGTTGGTTTCCGTTCTCTAACTTTAGTTTGCCTCAACCAAATATGATGAAACTTATACATAATGCTTGTTACCACAAAACACAGATCAAGTTTGAATTTTGGTGGCGTCACTATAACCGTGCTAGAGTTATGCCCCTTTACAAATGGAAAATTGCTGAATTTTTCGTTTCTGTTTTCTAACTTTAGAGTGCCTCAACCAAATATATGAAACGTATACACAATGCTTATTACTACATAATACAGATCAAGTTCGAAATTGGGTGGCGTCACTTTTACCGTTCTTGAGTTATGCCCCTTTATAAACATAAAAACTGCTGAATTTTTTGTTTCCGTTCTCTAACTTTAGTTTGCCTCAACCAAATGTTATGAAACTTATACACAATGCTTATTGCCACATAATACAGATCAAGTGTGAATTTTGGTGGTGTCACTTTTACCATGCTAGAGTTATGCCTGTTTACAAATGGAAAAATTTTTCCTTTCTGTTCTCTTACTTGAGTTAGCCTCAACCAAATGTTATGAGACTTATACACAATACTTATTACCACAAAACTCAGATCAAGTTTGAATTTTGGTGGCGTCACTTTTACCGTTCTAGAGTTATGAGACGTAAGTTTTTCTGATTTGTAGTAGTAGGTTGTACAGTTTCCATGCTCCAAGGGGCTGAAGGATGAGTGAGAAGTTTATGCCACCGCCGTAGCGGAGGGGGCATTTAGTTTTACCCTTGTCCGTACGTACGTCTGTCTGTACGTCCGATAATTGGTTTCCGTTCTCTAACTTTAGTTTGCCTCAACCAAATGTTATGAAACTTATACACAATGCTTATTACCACAATACGCAGATCAAGTTTGAATTTGGGGGGCGTCACTTTTACTGTTCTAGAGTTATGCCCCTTTACAAATGGAAAAATTGCTAAATTTTTCATTTTTTTCCCAAAAATATCAATGTCATTATTCAAGTATTTTTAAAATTGGAGTTATCTTCCTTTGTCCATGATTATAGTTAAATCAACTACAATCAATGCTTTATACAATGCAATGTTTAATTTTGCCATCCACTGATAAAACACAGATCAAGTTGAATTTGGGTAGTGTCACTTTAATCATTATTGAGTTATGCCCCTTTATAAATCGAAAAATTGCAAAATTTTTAGTTTCAATTCTGTAACTTAAGTTTGCCCTAACCAAACATTATGAAACCTATACACAATACTCATTACCACAAAACTAAGATCAAGTACAAATATTGTTTCCGTTCTCTAACTTTAGTTTGCCTCAACCAAATGTTATGAAACTTATACACAATGCTTATTACTACATAATACAGATTAAGTATGAAATTCTGTGGCGTCACTTTTACCATTCTTGAGTTATGTCCCTTTATAAACATAAAAATTGCTGAATTTTTCGTTTCCATTCTCTAACTTTAGTTTGTCTCAACCAAATGTTATAAAACTTATACACAACCGATCTAGAGTTATGCTTGTTTACAAATAGAAAAATTGCTGAATTTTTCCTTTCTGTTCTCTACTTAAGTTAGCCTCAACCAAATGTTATGAGACTTACACACAATGCTTATTACCACAAAACTCAGATCAAGTTCAAATTTGGGTAGCGTCACTTTTACCATTCTTCAGTTATGTCCCTTTATAACTATATGATATGCAAGCGGGGGCATCATCTGTGTCCACATGTGGAAACAATCCACATTTATTTTCAATGATTTCTTTTTTGCATGAGCTTTATAGCAGTCTGTGCAACTGGTTTTGCATAACTGTTATGATTTCCATGCTTTAACATGTTTAATGGGACAATTTGGTTAAATTTATTTTTTATATTAATGCATTTTTTTTTCTTTGAGTTCCTAATGAGAATCATCATCATGTCAGCGTGTTTGCTGTCATATCATGCTGTGCTTAGCAAAATCTTTAGTTAGTAATGTACAACAATTTTAACAGTTTTGCCTGTATAATCAAATGTAAACCATCCCATTTTCACATCTAAACTAGTAAGGAGAAAGTGCATTTTCCTTAGGAAACTATTTTATTATTAAGAAAACATGTATTGTTTATTTAGTTTACAAACATTTTTTATCTATGTTTTTCTTTTTCAGAATTGATAATGTGGGTATTTTAAAGCTTAGAAATGCTGATGTTGAAAATCGAGTTGGTATTCAGAAAGCTAAGAAGAAGAGTACCAAAGCTCGATTGATTTTTAGGGTACAGTTTCAGAAACCTGATGGAAATATTCAGATATTACAAATTGCATCTCGCTCAATCAACTGCAGTAAGTTATTTTTGAATTTTTCTGTGAATATCATGATAAAGATAAGGAGATGTGGTATGATTGTTAATGAGACAACTATCCACCAAAATTCAAATGAAGTGGATGTAAGGCATAAGTTTATTTTTTTAATTTCGCATAAATAAAGATAAAATAGGCAAAAAAAATCATTTGTGTAAATTTGATGTTTAAAGAAAATTAAGATCACGGACAACAAAAATGCAAATGTAAAAAACTTGCGAAAGGTTTGGCCTAAGAAATCGTAAAATAAGAAATTTCAGGAAGACCAATATCTGACGTGTAAAATCATATATAAAAACCAATATTTAAGATAAAAAAAACAATTTAGATAAATAAGACATTTTTTCCTGTTTATCAAAGATAATGTTGATAGCTTCAAAAGTATTATATTTAACAGGTATTCCACAAATTTCCTGTTTAAATAAATTTTTAATGTTTATTTCCTTCTTTTGCCCACCATTCTTCCAAAATGAATTTTTTACCAAAAGATGTATATTGGTGAGATACACATCACAGTTATAAAATATGTTGGTCCTTGCATGTGACCAATTTCTTCTGAAGCAAAACTATCAAATTTTGCATTATTAGAGTGCACGATTATGATGTTACAATGACATTATTACTAACGCAATGAGTCTGAGCTTTTTAGTCCCCTACCGACGAAGTCGAAGGGGACTTTAGGTTTGCACTCTGTCCGTCTGTCCATCTGTCCATCTGTCCGTCCGTCTGTCCATCCGTCAGTCCGGCAAATCAGCTTTCCACACTTTTTTTCTTCGTTCTTGAAGATATTGATTTGATATTTGGTATATAGTTTTATCAATACAAGTTATAAATCAAGTTTGAATTTTGTTCCGGTCTGATGATTTAGTCCAGAGTTATGGACCATAACTCTGGACCATATCTAATGTTAGAGTACTATGTTAAACCATATTTCTGGACAAAGGGAGATAACTCATTTTTTAAAAGACATTCTTTGTTTAATTATTTGAAGAATTATTGCTATATATATAAAAAAAAATATGAAGAGAAATCCTTTAATTAGATAATAATTTAATTTTGGATGTAATGTGTCTTCTGATTGGCTGACGTTGTTTTGTTTATCAGCTCATAGACATAATTTTGTCATCAACGTTTTTTCATGGTTTACTCTGGTTTAAAATGAAATTTAGAATTAAATTATAAGAAATGACTGTAATATTTTTTCTGTCTATTGGAAATAGCATAAAAAATGTGGTGCACACTTAAAAATAACCTGCTACGCGGGTTATTCAGTGTGCACCACATTTTTGATGTTATTTCTTCATAGACAGAAAAAATATTACAGTCATTCCTTAAATAATCTATTTTTATTAATGTATATATTTCAGTACATTACATTGTGTAGATAAAAGTTGTTGAAATTTTATAGATAAGTTACAAATCTATATTAGTTTGTGACAAATGAAAGAAAAAATATTTGGAACTATTAATTATATTTGATCATAATTTGAAAATAGATATACACTGTATTACATCATATCTAATTTTAGAGAACTATTAATCATATCTAATGTTTTTTCACTCATATAATCAGTTTTCCACACTGTTTTTAGTCATGCTTGAAGATATTGACATGGTATTTACTTTTTGTTTACACCATGACAAGTTATAGAACAAGTTAGCATTTTGTTCCAGTAAAATGAATTTTTACACAGTAGGGGACTATGTATTGCCATGCAATACTCTCAGAATGCTTGTTGATTTTACATTTGTCATATATTTTTACACATTTCATCATCAAACGTCAATGAAGTTACCAAACTCAAATATGAAATTGTGGGGCCAATATTGACCCTTTGCGAACCTACCCTATAAACTGTGCAGACACACTAAACTACTCTACTATATATTTTTCTTAGCCTTAGGAAAGATTTCCTAGAAAGAAAAACATAGTTGGAATGAAGTGTATAGCCCTTGCCATAATGAATATTATGTCTTTTATTGTTAAAAAATAAGGTCACAACAAACAATTGGCATGAGCTATTATATCTATTATTATATAAAGGGGGGATGAGCTTTAAAAAAACAAAGGTTAACTATAAATAAATCTTAAAGTTTAATTTTGCCACCTAAATTGTACTTACAGCTCAACCCATAGGACAACCAGAGATTTGTAAAATGAGCTCTAGAGAGTGTACTGTCAGTGGGAATGCTGAAATGATCATGATTGGGAAGAATTTTATGAAGGGCACCAAGGTTTTCTTCCAAGAATTGAATGGTGAAGATGGTCCTGTTATCTGGGAAAAAGAATCAGATTTAGACAAGGATTTTTTTCAGCCAGTAGGTATCAGTAGGTTAAGATTGCTACTTGATGTATGGTACTGTAAATTCCCCAAAAAATGTGTGAATTTATTATAGTGTTTGTTGAAAAACCGACACTAATGATGTAATATGTATCTTTTATTTTCTGTATCATATAAATGTGTGATACCTATTTTAGTGTTTATTACACATGTTTGTGGAATAATCTTCTACAGGTATAACTGTGATTTTCTATCATCATCTCATATAACATTTATAACATTTATATATAAAATAGGGAAATGCGGTATGATTGCCAATAAGACAACTATCCAACAGAGTCCAACTAATGTGGATTTTCAGCATTTATGTATAGGTCGCTGAACGGCCTTCAAAAATAAGCAAAATCCATAAAAAATATAGTCAGTTATGAAAGGCCCTGACATACCAAGATATGAAACAATTTGATAAAACAGAAAAAATAAACGACCTGATTAACGACAAAACAATAAACATAAAACAGATCTAACAGACAGCAACCTAAGACAACCACTGAATAACAGATTCCTGACTAAGTTTTAATTCCAACATTTACATTACTATCAAAATTATATGCAGGCCAGACATATCTTTGTGTCAATTCTTTTATTTGTATGTGTACATTTCAGACCCATTTGGTTTGTACAGTTCCACCGTATAGTGACACAAGTGTAGCTAACAAAATAACAGTGCAGGTAGTTGTCAGATGTAGTGGTAAGCAAAGCGAGCCCCAGACCTTTACATATACACCTGGTAAGTTAAGTTCTATCATAAAACAATTTAAACAAATCATCACCTACTGTTGGCCTAAAAACATCCTTCATAAAGTGAGTGCTGTTTCTTAATTTGTTTATTGGTAAATTTTAAGTTCATTTTCAAGTAAATGCTGATTTCTGATGGAATTCATATTTAAATAATTGACCAAATTCATAAGTGTACCAGCTGTTCAGTTGCTGGTATTTTTTCAAGAAATCAATTTCCTCTAACTGTAAATTAACTGAATTTGTAATTATTTCTTTTTCTGCATACTGTTTATTGAAGTAAATTATGTTTGATTTTATGTAAATATTTTCCATGTGTCTCATGTTGGTAGAAGTGACATGAATTTGAAATCCCTGCATATGGTCCCCCGCCCAAAGTTGAATCTACACCCTTTGTTTTTAGAATGAAACCATTGACCATGTGCTATGTTTAACCATGTTATAAAGTAGACTGGCTTCAATATGCATGTTGTGTGATGCCATATGCAGGCCAAATTATTTCCTACACACTTTTTTTTTATTACTGATGCCAACATGAGACAGCTGATCCTATACACATCTCACATACACTCACTGTATCAAGGATGTTTAGCGATAGCTGTTTGCAATAATGGGACCTTTCTTTGACATACATTGTCATGTTTATATACCGGTATATTGTCCAATGTAGGACTTCCCAAGTCAATAAATAAATTTATAAATTCACGAAAAAATTGTAAACATATTTCTGTGTTTAAATGGTGGTCTGTCGCTTAAATTACATACATCCCATGATTAATATAAACCAGTGAAAAAACTTAACAAAATAGAACTTTTGTGATACCCAAACATTACAGAAATTCACTGATTTTCTCTGTTTCTCTGTATTATTTAATTTAAAGAACATGTGCATTTGAATTTGGTACTGTTTTGATGCTACATTATATCTTTTTCAGGAGTAAGGTGATGTACATAATATTCACACCTCTTTTTTTAGGGTATGAACATTTTACATGTTTCTAAAAATGTATAAAATAAGTAAAGAATTAAACCATCACAAAGTCTGTAGGTTCTAAACAAAGGTTTGGGGCCATCACAAAAGTTCTGTTCTTTGCTAAGTTTTTTCATCAGAATTGTCTTATAATTATTGTGGGATATGTGTGAGAACTTCCATTAAAGCACAGTGTAGATGTGTAATTAATGAGAACTTTTGGTTTATCTCTGTTTAGGGTTGCAACAGCCATCAGGGTCGATTCTGTTGACAAAAATGGCTGCAATAAACCGTCTCTTGAGAAATTTGGGGCTTTATATATACCTACAATAGGCATTTCTTTTTTCACTTGAGAAATTTAAGGTATTTAAATAGGAAGATGTGATGGTGTTAGGTTATATAAGGAATGGTTAAGGCAGTCATTTTTGTCCAACAATCCCCATTGGCATCTATTTTCAAGCACATTACAATTGTATAAATGTCTTAATGAAACGTAGTTCAGTTTCAGCATTTTCCTGCCAAATTTGAAGTTTCAAGGATTTTCTTTATATCTAAGATAATAATTGTGTTCAGATGTTCCTACGCTCTTTAAACTTGCTTCACAAGTTAATTCTAATTTGACCGTAAGTTCTTTTTAAGTCATTAAAGTTTCAGTACTGATTTAGTACTACAAAAAAACAATACAAAATCAGCACTTTTACAGTATTATTTTTTTCAATACTGTTTTCAAGTGATATATATTATTACAGTACAGACATTATTCAGTTTTGTCAATTTAACTGTTAATTTGGTACTTACAATCAATACTGAAACAATTCAGATTTTTTTTTTTTTTTTAAACCATACTGAAAAAGACACTATTTCAACTTTAAATAAGTACAAGTATTAGCAGTTTTGAAGTAACAAAAAGTAAAACAATACATTTCTATTGTACAACTGTTCAGTATGAATTCAGTAGATGGTAGAAATGTACCAGCAGACTGTAAGTAAATTATTTTTAGTGAATGAATTTTGGTGTTCAAAGTTTTATCTAAAATTTTCAGTAACAAAATATTGATATCTTATAAACTGCTTTTTAAAAGTGAATATTTGTGAATAAAAGCTTTCCCAAATTTTCTTTTAACTTTTTTATATTTTTAGTTCCAAAAGAAACATTTAGAGGTCAACATACAATCTCAAATGATAGACATGTGTCCATAATCAAGCTCTAAATCACTGAGTCTGTACAATTTAGAGACTATATTGCAATTACCTTGTCTGTTTGTTTGTTCAACAAATATTTGCCTCAATTTTTTTCAAAAACTGCTGAATAGAATCATTTTATATGTGGTCAGTAGCTTGACTTTTATGAGTTATAACTTAGCACTTTTTGGATGATCAATCGGATACCAACTTCCTGTTTGCTGATACTTTGAATTTTTTAATGTGTTAAATGAATTCAAAATTTCTGTCACACATTTATCTCAGAAACTTCAGAACAGAATGACTTCATTTTGGTCAGCAGCTCAATAGCTGTTATAATGTATGTGTTTCAGATCTGTCGGATGCCTATCTCCTTTATTCCGATATTTTGAATAACGAGGTCCTTGCAGGACAACATTGCATTCTTGTTGACTGTCCTTTTCTGTCCATATAAAAGTGATCAATAAAAACTTTGTAAGCTATTCACATCCTGCCTTCTGTATTTTAAAATGTGTCTGCTACTTAAAAAATTACCATGTAGAACAAATATTATCTTTAATTGACACGAGAATTTTTTTTAACCAAATGTAAAACTTAAGCAATACTTAAAAGAAGCAGTTTAATAGAGCCAATCAAAAGTATATTATTGGAATTTCAAGAAATACAATATTTGGCAGGAAAATTGTTTATGTGCTTGTGATTAAGGATGCTTTCATCTCGACTTAAACAAATTTGCATAAGTGAAGAAAAACAGAGGTCATCGTTGCAAGGTATTGTAAAAATTCCATTCTTTAGTTCATTTTATGTAATTGCATTGGTCAGTCATGAGAAAGAAAATTATACAAAATCAACGATATTATTAAAAAAAATGTAAATAACTTTTTATTTCACATGGATATATCTCTGAATAATGTTTTGTTAAATTTTGGCAAACAAATTAAATTTTTGAATTTTGAAACAGTAGTGTCTGAGGTTTTATTGGGATTAAGTGTTGGATGAAATAATGGGTAGGGATCTTACCAGTATTTGATGTTTGGAGACATTATCTTACATGTTGTAATACATATGTCAGACTTTGTTGAACTATTTGATTGTAATCTCAGTATACCTAAATTTGACATCAAGTATTGGTACAAAAATAAACCTCAGACATCAGCTGTTCAGTCATGTACTGACCATTCCTCTTAATACGTAAACCAGATTGTTGGGAGGGAATTTGCTAACATGTGCTATGATTTACCCTCAGAAACACCTAGAAAGAAAGATGATAGTGACCCAGTGACCTTGGGTCAAAGTCTAAAGGTTGACAGCAGCCATCCTCAGGTGGTTAAACTGTACTCTCAGTTGTATAAAAGGGTGGGTTGTCTATCCTAGCAACATGGCAACCATTGTATTGGTATATCTTGAAAATATTATACAGTTATGATACAGTGATAGTATTTTTAATATATTTGTCCCCCGCCGCAAAACAGTCTGGAAGGAGGTACCAAGGAACAAAGAAATACATTTTTCTTTTAAAACAAAAAACCATGTTCATTATGAATTTTTTTGAGGGGGTGGGGAGTGGTTCCAAGAAACCATATAGCTACATTTTAAAAAGAAGTATCTTTTTCTTTTAAAAAATATCCCAAGTTCATTGTGAATTTTAGGCTGATATAGCTCTTAATTGTGTAGAGATACTGTATAAAAATATAAATTATATTAAAACCAATAAAAAGAACAAAGTTTTAAGTATGTTTCAGTAAAGAGTTTATATAGATACTTTTTAGTTACAACATGCTCGAACATCACACCTTTTAAACGTAAAAAAAAAAGGAAAAGAAATGGAATTACTTACATCAAAGGTAGTACCCTATTTTTTTTAAATATGGATTTTTTTTATAATTTGGCCTTTAAAAAAAATAATACTATTTTTAGCTTTGAACTTTTGGGGTAGTAATAGTTTTTAGAGTGAGGGGATTTGATATCATAGACAGCTTTATAATGGTAATCTTTATTGGAGTTATGTCCCTTTTTTGTTTTGCTGGCGGGGGACATTTGGCTACCATGTAGCAATCTTGTTATGTTTTAAATTTAGCAATTTCCAGCATTAGAATATGAAGTCCAGGGGGGAAACCAGGGCTTTAAAACCTGCATGTTCAAAGTATTAAGTGCATAACAGTCAGTTAAATGAACATAAAGTTATTTGGATTTTGATAAATTGTGGATTCATTTATTTTTGTGGGTATCAGTTTTCGTGGATTGAGGAAAACATTTTTGTGAATATTTGATTTCATGGTTATGCTCTTAAGTTTGCTTACTTTCCAATTGAAAATTTGTAATTCATTGAACATTTAAATTTGTGGGTTTTCCTGTACCAAAAAAATCCACAAAAATTGGTATCCACAGTTTCAGTATTTCATAATGTCTCAAGATAAAGAGTGCACTCATTTGATTTTAACGATAGTGGGGCTACCTAAATTGAAATTGAAGTATTTAAGATTGTATAACAGTTGTTTGTATGTTTTCTATTATTTTTTGTATGTCTGATAATATACTTTAATTTTATACCAGAATTACACCTTACATTTTTTAGTTGAATGTGTGGTTTTGTATTTTTTACCTGATGAATTCGTTACAGTTTATAAAAATCAACATTATCGTATTCTGATTGCTGTAATTGCTAATGATATTACTTTCAAATTTTAGAATATCAATAGTTCATTACAATATTAACATTATTTGTAGTGTGCATTTATGCATCAATACTACTGAGTTTATAAATATATGTCCATCTGACTGACTGTTCACAATTCTTTTCTGCAAATTTTTATTATTTAACTTTGTCATATTGGATTGAATTGTCCTGTAAATACATCATAAAGTGACAGTAGATAAATCAAAAGTTCTTTCCTTAGATGCTTTCTTCCATCGGCTTCTCCCAGTTAGTCTCTGATTTTTTTGCAAGCTCAATGTGAATCCTTAGCTGAGATAGCTTTTAATTAAATATCAGTTTTTTACTTCATTTGGTCAATTGTTTCAAGAAGTTAAGAAGTTGCATATCTCAACAAGCCAAGCATCAACAGTGTTATTCCAGCCCTTAGTATCCTATAGTTATCGACTTTAGTAGATTTTCAGTTATTTCTGGAATAACAATGTTGCCCAAGTGGCCACCAGAGACCTGATTTTAATTAAGATTATTGGTTGCGTTGTGTGTATGTAATTTGTAAAGTTGTTAAAGAGGTTATTAAAAAAAACTTGTTTCTACCAATTTTCATGAAATTTTTACAACGTAAAACTTGAGTTGAAAGTAATTTTTCTTTTGATTTTTTTATTTGTCTAAATTGTCTGTTTTTGAGGTTTTTGGTTGTTTGTTAAAAAAATAAAGGACTTTTGTAGAAAATAATGGTCTACCCGAAATGACTATATTATGCTCTCTAGGTGCAACTGTTTATTTTGTTTTCATTCCACACTGTATCATCAGGGTCTATAAGCCTTTACATTTATTAAAACCAAACTAATACATAACTGGCATGGATGAGTTATCCTTTAGGGAATCAGCCATGTTATTGACATATCTTTGGTATAGAGTGAACCTTCAAACTGGTGGTCACAATAGTCAATTTGGTTGTATAGGTATTACTCGCATTTATTACTTGTTTATGTTACAAATCACATAGTTTTTATATATTGTAAATTCAGAAATTGTTGAGATGTTTTTATTAATGCAAAAATAAAAACTTGCATTTATAATTTATGATTTCAGTAGGGATTTTCATTCAAAAACATTTTGCAATCTCATTAATTTTGCCAGAGGTCAAGGAGGCATAATAATAAATGCACACATAAATTTCTGAATTTACAGTAGCTCAAATTATTCCTGAAATATGTAAGTACCTGTGTTCACATAAAAAGCTCTGTTTGTCTCAAATAGGATTCAGCAAAATAATTTTTTTTTATTGCATTTTACAAGCAAAATACTGTGTAGTGTTTTTGGTCATTGATAATACTATTTTTATGTAAAATTCCAGTATCCAACATAAAATGTTATTCTTAAGTCTCTGTTCTACGACTGTGTATGGTGGCTTCATCTAACATACCTTTCATACAAAGTATACCATGATGGCAGGCCATAAATACCTTGCTATACATATTTGAACCGAAAATGTAGTCTTCTGGTTGAATGATCCAGGGTTTTACAGAATTTGAATTTTGCTTGAAAAAACCATATAGATTTTTTTTAATTTTGGAGCTATTTTCTTATAAAAAAACTAATATAATTCATCATTTATTCCTGTCAATTGGTGACTATTTTGGAAATTGTGATAGAACCTTACTTGGTGTCAAAAAACTTTGTATGTGAACACAGTGTTATAGTTTTTTGAGACACAAATCAAATCTTGTACTTGAATATTTCCAGTGTTTCAAGTGAAGCAAGAAACTCCAATGGAGACAGATGATGAACCTGTTCAACAGAATCCAGGACCACTAAATATAACTATAGCACCAGGTATGAAGACATATATTTTGTAAATGTATTATTTTGTCTGTTGTAAATCTATTCTTTTGTTGTCATTGATGTATTTACTTAACAATTTTATTGTTGTTGAAAATATTTCTTATTGGGAGATTTGAATGGAATAGATAAGATATGGATTAAGTTATAACAGTCAATTTGTAAATGTAAAAAGTCAAATTTCCTATAAAAAAAAGAGTAAAAAAAACAAAAGTACCGAACTCCAAGGAAAGTTTAAAACAAAAAAGTATCAAATGGCAAAATCAAAAGCTCAAACACATTAAAACAATGGAAAACAACTGGCATTTTCCTGACTTGGTACAGGCATTTCCTTATGTAAAAAATGGTGGATTAAACCTGGTTTTACAGCTAGCTAAACCTCTCACATGTATGACAGTCGTTTCTGATTGAGCCCTTAATGCAAAATGTTGAAAACACAAAAGATAGATAGATGTTTAACAATCAGAAGAAAATATTTCTAGCATATTCAGAACTAGAACATGTTAATGTGATATGAATATGAACCTTTGTACTAGACCAACTTGTAGCCAGATTTTAACAAGCTGACCATCATGTAACAGTTCAAGGAAAATGTGTTATCCAACAAGGGATGAATTCTAAACCAGTCAGCTTTTGCTAATACTAACTACTTTGTCCTATGCAGAGAAGCAGCAAATACTAAATGTTTTAACAAGGGATCAAACTCCAAACATGCATCAATTAGATGAGCACACAACCATGTGAATCCTAAGGTCTTAACTAAACAAAGGTCATAAGATAAGTAGAAATACATGAAAATCACAGACATCTTAGTCCTTAAAAAATCATCTTATTACTGGAAGTTAACCAAAATCTTTTACATTATTTACAGAGGCTTTAAGGTTGAACCAGCAACTACAAGAAAGTTTGGCAACCAGTCATGGTAAATTCCTGTTACCTGATGGGACTGTTCCAGGAGTCTCAAGTATGCAGGTTGATCATCTTAGCACAGACCAAAAACAAGGCAAGTTGCTCTATAGTATGGAGTATTGTGTCTTATTTGCATGTAAAATATAATTAGATGTCCCAAGGAACAATATAAAATTTACAAGCTTAACAAAGTATAGGGCATGTCCTCATTTGATATGTGCAGCGTTCTCTTCTGGAAAATAGTGACATGGTCAGCGCTATTTTTACACAAACATACAAAAATCTCTTCATTTTTGGTTGAATTAACTAAACATTTAAAGATGAAATGTGTTGACAAAATTATAGCTCTTTCGTACCACAGTGCTAAAGAGGTAGCGGGAGAACACTGGACTTTTCAAAAATCTTAAAACTAGTATTATACAAGCTAATTCTTGTTTTTAAAATGTAGTCCTTTGTGTTTTATTTGATGATCTTACTTTTTTTTATACCGAACTGTCTGTTTTCTTTTAGAACATTGAAATATTTTAATTCATTTTGGAGAAATATTGAATTGAAAAGTACTAACAAGGTTGGGTAAAATAAGATTATACTTTTTTTTGATAATTTTGTACATGATGTTAAACCACCCAATTACATTTACAAACATGGTAAAGCGGTATAGTGATGCCACATTGAAATATATGGTTTTGGTTCATTTATTTAAGACCTAAATTTGACAGGGACACTTTGAACATTCTGTTAACTTAAAATAATCATTTGTCTAGCTAAATAAATGAATGTGTTGGGACTGATTGTACATGTGACCTTTATTTTTAGTTGATGCTGGACATGAGGAACAGCCGATATTTTTACCGGAAACTAAAACTATTACAGAACAACATGATAATGGGCATTTTTCACATCCACACAACAACACAGAACCAATCAGTCTGAATACATCAGACCTGAACTCCATTCTGAAATCTTTGGATGGTATAATAAAATACTACAGATAAATTATATTTCTGTTACTACTAAATTTTGTGTGTTGTTTAAACAAGAGAAAAAAATTAGTTTGAGAATAGATAGATTATATATATAACATGTATAAAAAGATATAAGTGTGAAAAGGGATAAATAATAACTAGGGACCCTGGCAACAAAGTTGTAAAGGGGATACAAGAACACATTTTTTCTTTCCATTCACGTTTGATGTTTGCTTGTAATGCAAAATGTTATAGGTACCATAGAAATTTGATATCCAGTTTTCATTTAGATTAACTCATTCATGGACATGGGGAATACTTGAAATCTCAATTGCAAGTTTAGAGGTTAAAGGTCAAGAGATCACAATATGACTGGATGGAAATTAAAATTCTGAAAAGAGAAGAAAAAATTGAAATCTATGTACATTTTTATCAACAGTCCTCGAGTTTAAGTAGATCTATTGATGTTTTAAGTTAATATTTGAGACAAATAGATAACTGGTTTAACTTTTATTTTCCTTTTGAAATCTTTTGGATACATAATTAAGTTGCACACCTGCTCACACATGCACCTATGCCTATGTAAATTACATTCTGCTGTCGATTTGTCACTTAAGAATCATTTTAGTTTGTTCAGTTTCAAATTGCTTTGACAATTTTAATTGTTTATCGCTAAAATTATGTAGATGCAAACCAGTAACACATGAAAAACAATACACATCATCTCATGTTTTAAAGATTGTCTAAACCTTGATTTTTTCTTAATTGTATGAAAGTGGCAAATCCACACTTAGCATTTAAGCCAAATTTTAGACAAATATGAAATCTGCTGGTTGACCAGTAGGGAATACCATCTGGGAAACTATGCTTGAAACCTATTAATTTCATGGTATATGTTCAAGTTTCCCTAATAGGATTATTGAAAAATTACATCGGATCGCAAGAAGGTGATCCACCCTTTGATTGCCCTTGTTCACAGTTTAATGGTTTTTCTTTATTACGAAAATTGTTTTTACACATCTCGTGATTATCTTGCTCATACTTTAAAACTTTGATATCACCCACATGTAATGAATCACTCATATGTTAATGTTGTGAATACATTCATTTCACACACATGTAATGAATCACTCATATGTTAAGGTTTTGAGTACATTCAGTTCACACACATGTAATGAATCACTGATTGGAATAGGTTGTGAGCACATTCAATTATCGGTTCTATTAGCTTATTCCGAATATATATAGGGTCACGGGAAACAAAATCAACATTATAGGAAAGTCAATAAATATTAAGTTTTCGTCAAGTAATAAAGAAAGTATTTATTGTTTATTTAATGATACAGTAAATTTGTTTTAATCAAAGAAATATAATCAAAGTTGTTGACACTTTGTTAAAGTTAGTTGATTTTAATTACCCCGAGGGTATCACCAGCCCGGAAGTCACAACTCATAATTATGACAAGAATTATCATTGATATGGTCATACACGTATATATATGAATTAACTGTTTACAAAACTTTTAATTTTTCCAAATACTGAGGATTTTGTACCCAGAAATATATTACATTAGTTGTAATTGGCCAACCTTTTGGAAATTATGAGTACTCTGGTCTCTTTAACGTTTTGATTCAAGCGATGCTGTTAAGTCTTTTGTAGACATTTGAAACGCACGTCTGGTGTACAAAATTTTAATCGTGGTATCTATGATGAGTTTTATTCAGAATGATAGGTAGAGTGTGTGTAGTATTGTTTACTCATTTTAAGTCATGTATTAGAATCTGTTCTCATGACATGAATGAGGTCATCATTTTAAATCAAAACTGGTTTCATTGTTTTTTAAAGAATTTCATTGAACACTGCAAAAGTTGTTAGTAACAGAAACAAGTATATTTGTAGTAATTCATGTATCATCATTATCATCAATACATTCACAAACTCTAGAACTAATGAATTAAGGCCGAATAATACTACACATTTGTACCAGTAATTATCAGAGCCATGAATTCCAATAAAATTACTGTTCCTTTTGATCAATTGATTATTTTCTAATACTTCATTGTTTTGTAAAGTCATGTACATCCAACCTTCTTTTTTTCTATCACAATGTAGATTTTTACCCAAAGGGCAATGTTATCTCTTGTTATCTTTAAACATGTCAAATTTAACCAACTAAAAAGTTACATGGATGATTTAGCAAAGAAGCATGTAATTATGGCTAATGCCAGTGCAACAAATTATTGTATGCATGTTAGACTTTGGGTATATGCCTCAGTTTGTAGCACATATTTCTAATTTCGGGAATGAAATTGTATAACGTTTAGTTATTAATTTTTCTTTTTAGATACTTGCATGTTGATAATGCTCCACTCATCCATGTATTCATCACTTTTCTGTATTTTTTCTAACACAGCATGACATTTATCACAAGTTACACACAGACTTAGACTTATAGTACTTTTAATCATGTTGTAGGCAACATCCCTATATTTTACTTCCCTAGCAATTATGAATATCAGCACTTATTTAATTTGTAATCAGGAATCACTTACTGCAGTAGGTCATTCATTTTGGTATACTGTTCCATCTACATCAGGATATATCTCATGTCCGTTTTAGAATTTATGAAGCTCCAGCCGTGGTAAATTCCCTTTTAGAATTTCGGTAAACTTATAATTTTTCACAATTTCTAATTTTTGCTGATTTTGTCTAAAGTCCAGTGTTGTTTATTCTCATAACTTGGCAGCTGTCATCTGGCATAAATCTTTCAATCATTTTTAGTGTGTCTAGTTTCAAAAACTTGTTTGATGTTTTGGCAAATCAAACAACATGCCACTTACTGAAAATAATGCAGGAGTAAACTGGATAAAAAAAAATGAATCCTGATAAATTCTGTTAAGGGCCAATTTTTACCTGAGTTAAGGTAAATGATACCTTTACGATGTTTCTTAGAATTGTGGTTAATGACCCTAACAATCATCAAATATGTGTCATCATGAATAAAATTGAAAATTTGGCACACAAAAAAAAAATAATTTCAGAAAAATCCTATAAAGGGCCAAATGCTTTCCAAATTTGGCTTATTGACATTTTTTTTTGTGCTCTTTGAGAATTGTGATGATGACCATTTTATGGCTGGCTAGTTTATACTAAAAGTAGAAAATTTCCAAAAAAAATAGAATAAATATGAGAAGCAGGGCTTCCAAAATTATTTTTAGCCAGCCGGACAATTATATTTTATCCCGATTTTAATTCCTTAAGACTAAATAAACAAAAGGCAGTTTAATATGGTAATCAGTTGCCGAGTTGGCCATCCCAATGATTGACATTAAAAAAACCGATATTAAACTTTCTTTGATTCAAATTCGAAGTTCTGACGTAAACTGTTAAATTGGTGCAACATCAGCGTACTTATATCTGCCTTAGACTCTTTATTTGTGCAAAATAACGTTGTCAAAAACTTTACTTTCGTTTTTATACTGGATGTTATCTTGACAATGGTAAAACATGGACCAGAGACGGATACGTAAATTCCGTGTACGTTTGCAAAGCGTGAATGAGTGGAAGTAGCTCTTTCTACGTTATTTCTTCAAGAAAATATTCGAAATAAACGTGAGATAAAGGTATTTTTTGAAGAAATTAGGATTCATAATTAAATTTCACACCTGCGCACACGTGTACTAGTTCAAACAGAGACATGTCTCTAGGTTCAAACAACGTGGTTATGACGATTTTTCATTTTCACCTTTTTAATTTTTTCATCAAATCATGTTTGTAAACGTATTTCTGATAATTTAAATCTTTTTGACTAAAGTAATTAGATGCAAACCGCTGAAATGTAAGAAATAACTTTGAATAGACTGATCAATGTCCGGTTCAAAATAGTTTACCTGTCACCTGAACAGGTAAATTTCAGCTGTTTGACAACTAATTAACCTTGATTAAAATGAGAAGGTATTAAAGTAGGGGTTGTTTTGATAGTACTTAATGATCATGTCAATTTTATGACCGGAAATGTGTGGCTGTTAAAGGCAAAACGTTGGGTCAAAAAGATCGCGAATTATGTTAAAATGACCGTCTCTTAAAGCCTTGAAAACTAAAAAGTAGATGACCGTTTCATGCTTTGCCCAGCAGGACTTTTACCGGCATATATGACCGTTTTGGAAGCCTTGATGAGAAGTCCTGTAAAGTGTCATTTGCTACCAAATGTTGATATAATGATGCATTTATGATTCCCTTTAAGATGAAAGGTAAAATAACAAAAATACTGAACTCCAAGGAAAGTCCCCAATCAAATGGCAAAATCAAAAGCTCAAACACATCAAAACGAATGGAAAACAACTGTCATATTCCTGACGGTACAGGCATTTCCTTATGTTGAAAATGGTATATCAAACCTGGTTTTATAGCTAGCTAAACCTCTCTCTTGTATGACAGTCGCATAAAATTTCATCATATTGACAACAATGTGTGAACAAAACAAACAGACATAATAGAAAAAAATGTCAAAAATAGGAGTACAGCAATAAATGGTTGATGATCCACCATCAAACATCAAGCATGTCTTGTACTAAAAAATTGACATTTGAAAAACACACTTAGGAAAATAAATATGGAAAACCAGGTGAACCCATCACTACAAAAAAATAATACAATAATAATCTCTAACACATTATTGTAATCAGTGAAAAACAGGCTCTCCTTCCACAGGCTTAATTCTTTATTCTGGATCAATTTTGAAACGCAAATAAATATAAGGAAAATCCAGTGTAGAACTGGCTAATTTCTCTGAACTGACAAAATGTGTCACAAAATGAATATCCATCTAGAGTATATCATTGATCTTCATTTTCAGATAAACCCTTGACCCTTCAAGAAATGCTGATTCACCCTACCCAGATTTCCTGTCAGTCATCATTTCCACCAACATCAAGTGACGTCACTATGAATATTTCAGTAGCTAACAGTGACCAGACCACCCATCTTACTAATGCGAGCAATGTACAGCATCATAGTGAAGAGAAGTCTCTGCAACAACCTGTGCATTCTCCACTGGTAAATGTTTTGCCAAGTCCACAAGATTTTAATGGTTTGATGTTTAACAGCTTAGCCAATAATCAACCTCAAAGTTATGAAAATACCAGTGTTTATGGAGACCAAAATTTGCAAGTTAATAATTCTGAAGTAAAATCTGATTCAGACAAAGTAATGACCAGCACGGAAACAGATAGTAGGACATTTGAACAAATTATTGGTAATGCTCACAACCAGCATGATTTTGTAACTAGTCCAAATAATACAGAAATTATTTCAAACTTTCATTCTGATCTTAATAATTGCCAAAACATATCACCAAGTCCTGGAAGTAATCAAACTTTACAACAAATTCATGGAACTAACCAAAATTTACAACAGATCCTTGGAAGTAGTCAGAATTTACAGCAAACTTTTAGTAATAATGAATCATTGCAACAAAATCTTGGTGATGACCAAAACTTGCAGAGAGTTGGAAGTGGTCAAACTTTGCAGCAAAATCTTACAAACAGTCCAGATTTGCAACAAAACAGTCAACAAAATGTTATTTGTGACAATTTTAGTAATGCACAAAATACTTCAAGTTTAAGTAATATTCAGAACAGTGCACAAGTGTTACAAGGATTTCCAAGTATTCAGACTTGCCATGCAGAGTCAATGAATATTCAGAATAACACACTAGTACAAGGATTTTCTAATTTGAGTAGTATGCCACAACAGAAACAAAACATTGTAATGGCTCAGCATATGCCAAATCAAGAAGTGTTTACACCAACGTTTACTGGCAATGCTTCAGAACAGAACATATCAAATACTGGGTCAGTAGCATCGGCTGATAATACGGGACAGCAAAGTGGTTATTCTGATGTGGCTATGAGATTACTACAACAATTATTGACAAAATCCACAAATTCAACTACTCCAGTGACAAATCAGGTTTCTAACAGTTCACAGAGTACAAGTAATGTCTTGTATTCATCTGGATCTAGAATTCAGCCAGCTATATTTACTGGTATACAATCAAGTCCTAGTCCAATGAGCATACCAACAACAGCACTGCAACAAGTTATATCTTCTCCTTATCCCCAACCTAGAGTTCAGATCTCGAATCAGGGTCTTCTTCATCACATATTAAGTCAGAGTCTAGTTGACAAAAGACCTGAAGAGTCTGAAATGCCAACTACAAATTTGGGAAATGACAAGCCAGAAGTTCAACAACTTGATAGCTTACGACTACAAGCCATGGCCCAACAAGTACAACAACAAGCTCAGCAAGCACAGAATGCTCAACAGACAACAAATGGTATGCATTATGTTTATTGTAGTCCCACAAATTTATTTAAGAAATAATTCATGGGGGCTTAAATTTATCGTGATTTTACCACGGGTTGACCCTTTATGCTAAATCAGCATAAGGGCCAACCCGTGGTAAAATCAATATAAATTCAAGCCCCAATGAATTATTTCTATTCTAATAGGACAAAGACAGCAATTCTTTTGGATCGAAGCGCTCTATGTGAAGGGAAATGTTTGCCACACTTTTAATATTGACGTAAACAACGAAGAAAATTAAATAAGTGACATTCTTTAACGATATACAATAACATACTAAGACAGATTTGGATGAATTTAATTGACTATCTTATTTTCTTTTAAGAAGGTATGGACATTGGCACTCATACCACATCTTCTTATTTATATTATATAAATTCTTACCATCGTTTGTTTACGTTTTCATGTTTTGACGACTCAGTTTCCAATTCGTGCATTTTCCCATAAAATCCTTACATTCTTACGTCAACGCTCAATGTTGTCATTTACACGATCTGACGTGAGGTAAATCATTCATAAAAAGCATACGACGTGTGAGTAGGATTGGAACAGCCAACAGTGTTCTCAATAAGAGCAGGCAACCAGCCTATTGCGTGTTTTGTGCGGGCTATTAATTTATTGACAAAAATTTGACATACGCGAAAATTGCATAGTCGGGACCTGTCGTACATCTTTTTTCTACTAACAGGTTCCAAGTCGTCCGCCAGGCGTAAATAATACAATAGTAAACGTAAACCAGTTTTAAATCATTTTAGCGTTTAATAAAATCTGTACAAATCGAAATTGATGTTGACACGGATATTTTAGACAGCTCGTTGCAAACTCAAACATGAAGAGATTACTTTTATTTCTATTTAAAACTATAATACAAGACACTAAGAAATAATATGAGGTGAAGACACAATTATAAGGGCTATTCCAAATGTCTGTATGGGGAGGGGGAAGGCACATTAATAAAAATAAAATTGCATGGGCTACTTCACATATTTTCCCAATCAAAACTTACAATTCAGGAAAAATGAATTAAAATTTTATTCCAATAAAAAATGCTTTTCCCTCCCCATAAAATCAGTTCTGGAATAGCCCTTAGTGATAAAGACTTGCAATAAGAAGAACATTGAACATGTAAAGGGGTGAAGCAATCCATGTCATATAAAGTCTGCAAAAAAAGTCACATTTATTTTCAAAATTTAAATGAGCTACTGAAAATGGACAAATTAACATGAAGAATAAGAGGTCAAAATTTTCTCAGAACAGCCCAGATGCCACCTCCTGCAATCTAGATTTTCAAAATTTTCTCGGGGGAAATCCCTCTGAACCACCAGTTTTATGAGAAGGGGGGATATCTATCTATCGATATCCCCCTTGCAATGCTCCATTCCAAAAAAAAAAGAGAAAGTGCATGATGTCATAAACCTATGTAACTGACATTGCACTTACCCAACAAAAATTTTAACCTAAGTAAGTGTAGCAATGCACCCTGTTACAAAAAAATGGTGCACTTTTAAAATTCTAGATGTCTTTACCATATATCTAAACATGCTCATATGCAAATTTTTCTATTTTTACAGGAAATCAATCACGAGGACCACAGATAATTGTTCTTGGAGGAAATTCTGGTGTGCCAGTACAGAATGCTACTAATAGCACTCCTGCTGCTGCTGCTGCTGCTGCTTCCCCCATACTGATACTAGCAGGTGGTGGTGGTGACAATAACAATGCACAATCTCAAGGTAAAAAACTGGCAATCTACTTAGATTTATGTTTGTTTCGCTTTGTTTATTTTTAGTCAATAAATACATTTTACATCTTCTAGTTTGACAAGTTGTACTACAATCATGACAATTTCATGTATTATCTGTCATCTGTTTCTTCATCCATGGTCATAATTTTTATGCCCCCGCCGTAGTGGAGGAGGCATTAAGTCCCTCCGTCCCGTCCATCCGTACGTCCCAGAAATTGGTTCTGTTCTCTAACTTTAATTTGCCTCAACCAAATGTTATAAAACTTATACACAATGCTTATAACCACAAAACAGTCTTAACTACGCGAATCCTGCATCTGTATGTGGAAGTTGACTCATGTATTTTTACAAGCGGGGGCATCTGTAGACCATAGACACATTCTCCATTTATTTGTTGAATCTTCTACATTAAACTTCTGGACCAAAGTTATTAACTTTTACCGGAATGTTCCTTAGGAAATCTTGTTTAAAATTTGTATCTGGGGATTTGTTCCATTAACAAACATGGCTGTTGTTGCTTAAAAAGCAAATAGGGTAAAGCTGCAGTTATGGCTTATATCTCAAAAACTGAAGCAGCTAGAGCAAACATAAAAAGGATCAGAAGGTCAAATCTCTCTCCTAGGGAATTTTCTGAAAAATTGGACAACCCATTTTTGGAGTTATTGCCCCTGAAATGTAAATATTTTTTACAAATTCCATATTTTTATACGACCGCAAAAAAAAATTTTTGTGGTCGTATATTGGTATGACGTTGGCGTCGTCGTCAACATCCGAAGACACATTGGTTTTAGTTTAAGTGAATGGATCTCTATGAAATTTTACCATAAGGTTCAATACCACAAAAGGAAGATTGGGATTGATTTTGAGGGTTATGGTACCAACAGTTAAGGAATTAGGGGCCCAAAAGGGGCCAAAAATAAGCATTTTTTTAGTTTCCAGACAATAACTTGTGTTCAAGTGTATGGATCTCGCTGAAATTGTACTGCAAGGTACCATACCACAAAGGGAAGGCTGGGATTGATTTTGGGGGTAATTGCATCAAAATTTTAGGAATTAGGGGCCAAAAAGGGGAAAAAAACAAGCATTTTTTCTAATTTCAAGACAATAACTTGTGTGTAAGTGTATGGATCTTTATGAAATTGTAGTACAAGGTTCCATATCACAAAGGGAAAGCTGGATTTGAGTTTGGGGGTAATTGCCCTAAACGTTTAGGAATTTGGGGCCAAAAAGGGGCCTAAAAACAAGCATTTTTCTAGTTTCCAGACAATAACTTGTGTTCAAGTGTATGGATCTCTCTGAAATTGTACTGCAAGGTACCATACCACAAAGGGAAGGCTGGGATTGAGTTTGGGGGTGATGAATCATAAGGGGGTTCAAAAAATTTGGGGGGGGGGGGGTTTCCTTTTTTTTCCTTTTTTTTTCTTTAAAATTTTCCATTTTAAATTGGTTATTTCTGATTTATATATAAAAGCAAATAATAATGATATGGTTTGAATAGGTAAATTAAAAAATTTTAAGTTCTTAGACCACATTCATTCTGTGTCAGAAACCTATGCTGTGTCACATATTTAATCACAATTCAAATTCAGTGCTGTATCAAGCTTGAATGTTGTGTCCATACTTGCCCCAACTGTTCAGGGTTCGACCTCTGCGGTCGTATCAAGCTGAGCCCAGCGGAGCATTTTATTTGCTTATATCTAAAAACAACAGCAGTAAGAGCAAAACTAATAAGAGTATAATGAATCAGCAGGTCTCCTGTGGAATATTCAGACAAATTGGACAACCCATGTTAGGGTTATTGCCCCTGAAATGTCAATTTTTAGCAAATTTTGCAGTTTGAGATTTTAACCATAAAACTGTTATAGGCTGAGAGAAATTTAAAAGTCATAATGACCAGAACAGTAAAAGAGAGGTGAAGGATTCCAAAGGGACAGTCAAACTCATAAGTCGAAAATAAACTGACAATGCCATGATTAAAAAAGAAATTGACAAACAGACAAACAACTGTACACAAAACACAACATAGAAACTCAAAGACTGAGCAACACGAACCCCACCTCAAACTGGGGGTGATCTCAGGTGCTCCGGAAGGGTAAGCAGATCCTGCTCCACATGTGGCATACGTCATGTTGCTCAAAAAACTACAAAAAGATCAACATGGTCAAAATTGTCAATTAACCCCTCATAGGAATAATCAAGGTGCAAGCAATACATATACATAGTACTTATACAATGAAGTGAATATGGACGAACAGAAATTTCAAATCATACTATGGCAATCAGACTCTTAGCCCTACATTGCATTACATCTACATTCACTGTTATGCTATTTATCATATTTATGGAGAAACCTTTGACAGTGTACTAAGATATCTTCTTTTACTAATACAAAATTATAGGCATGAATAACTCAAGGGTTTAAAGACTTCTCTTTAAGTCTCCCAAACAAAGTTTGGAGACTAATTGGTTTTGCTCAGTTCTTATTATTATTTTCATTATTGTATTGTAGCAGTTTTGTGCATTGTAAATGCCAAGTGAGTGATGTATGATTCTTTGAGCTTTTAACTGATGGTGTAACTAGTCTTGTCTTTCTATTTTTCAGTTGAAAACATCCTGAGATCCATTCTTGGTTCATTAAAACCAGGACAATAATAGTGATATTGGAGACAGAGATTTTTTAACAAAAAGAGCCGTAGTGTCATGAACTATGAAGAACACTTTTTATTAAGAAAAATAGTGAAAGAACAGAACCAAGTGTATATCTGAAAACTCATCATGTTTGTTTTATTTTCTTATACGTAACAATAGTGCTTGAATTATGTTGTGCTAAATTTGAATTTTACAAAATTGAAAATTTAGATGTAAATTTCTGCCAGTAAGAAATTTGTTGGTTGTGGTATGGCCATATACAATAGAAGGATGTGTTATCTGACATTTTGTCGAAATGCTAAATTTGGGTTAATTGTTTTTGATGGAAGTAATATCTTGACAGTCACATTATGATGTTGTTACACTCCATAGTGCTATGGTGTTGTAGGGTTGGAATTAATTCATTGTGATAGTAGATTTTAGTTTGTCTCATTGTTTTGTATCTTTTAATATATCGTATAAAATATTTATTGTATGATTTGAAGAAATCAATAGTAGATTGCAATGCAGTATGTGTGGTTTGAAGTGATTTATACAATCATCCTACTAAATCTTCAAATACAGCAATTGCTAGTAAAAATGAAGCCTCATACTTGCCAACTGACCTGGGAATTTACCAGCTCACATGAGATTTGTTAATGACCTGCCTGGGACATAAAAAACCCAGGATTTCAGTATATGACCTGTTTTCACCCTTATTCTAGTTCCATGATACATACGAGGACTATATTGCAACTTTTCCTCTGAAATATTTTTTGAGTTTGAAGTTTAAACTTTATTTACAGTTTAAAATTAATATGAAAAATATATGTAAAATTTAACTGGAAAAGTTTGTATGCGTTATGCATTATGGCCTGATATTTTTTTACCCAATGCAGGCCATGCTATGCAGGTTTTTTCTCTTTCAGAGGTTGACAGGTATGAAGCATTTGACTAGAATTGGTATAAATTTCTATCGAAATTGTTATTACTGTAAGATTTTAATGTAAATCTTTGAAAACATTATATCTTTTCAGATTTCTGTAATATGGCTTTTTGTATGTGCCATGAATGATCAAAATTAGACTTAGACAAGAGATAATAAGACCTGCTTGTCTGTACAAGTTTTAAAAAAGTATATGAAATAAGAAATTGTGTTTTACTGCTCAGAATAACACAACAGTTTCTGATGCATAAAAGTTTATTGTTACTGACCTGATTAATGAGTAGATTCGGGAATTCCTGAAGTACTTTTTACTCCCATGCAATAGTAAACAAGAATAGAAAAGAAAAACTAAAAGCAGTTCATATTGAAAATCTAAGTTAATAATTTTAAAATAGATTAAAATTTAAAAAACTGAAAACATGAAGAGAGTTGTCCATCCCAATCAAAAACAAAGCATTTGGTGCAATATATGAGGCCTTTATATTTGTATTGTTGATATATAAGTGTTTTCATGGGACCATATATGAAAATACAATTTCCCTGTCATTGTAAATATTCATATTCTCATTGCTTTTAGTTTGTAAATAATAGTAGCTTTAAAATTCAGCACATTGTGTGATTTGTTTAATATCAAGTGTTATAAATCAAGTTTGAAAAGTATTGGATAGTTTTTTCAGCTAACAGATTTGATTTTGTTTGAAATTTTTGTGGTCGTATATTGGTATGACGTTGGCGTCGTCGTCCTGCGTCGTCCGAAGACACATTGGTTTTCGCACTCTAACTTTAGTTTAAGTGAATGGATCCCTATGAAATTTTACCATAAGGTTCAATACCACAAAAGGAAGGTTGGGTATGATTTTGGGGGTTATGGTACCAACAGTTAAGGAATTAGGGGCCAAAAAGGGGCCAAAAATAAGCATTTTTGTAACTTCCAGACAAAACTTGTGTGTTAGTTTATGGATCTCTCTGACATTGTACCACAAGGTTCCATATCACAAAGGGAATGCTGGGATTGATTTTAGGGGTAATTGCCTCAAAATATTAGGAATTAGGGGCCAAAAAAGGGGCAAAAAACAAGCATTTTTCTAGTTTCATGACAATAACTTGTGTGTAAGTGTATGGATCTTTCTGAAATTGTACTACAAGGTTCCATATCACAAAGGGAAAGCTGGAATTGAGTTTGGGGGTAATTGCCCGAAACGTTTAGGAAGAAGGGGCCAAAAATAAGCATTTTTCTAGTTTCCAGACAATAACTTGTGTTCAAGTGTATGGATCTCTCTGAAATTGTACAACAAGGTTCCATATCACACAGGGAATGCTGGGATTAATTTTGGGGGTAATTGCCTCAAAATTTTAGGAATTAGGGGCCAAAAAAGGGGCAAAAAACAAGCATTTTTCTAGTTTCATGACAATAACTTGTGTGTAAGTGTTTGGATATTTCTGAAATTGTACTACAAGGTTAAATATCACAAAGGGAAAGCTGGAATTGAGTTTGGGGGTAATTGCCCAAAACGTTTAGGAATTGGGGGCCAAAAAGGGGCAAAAAAACACATTTTTCTAGTTTCCAGACAATAACTTGTGTTCAAGTGTATGGATCTCTCTGAAATTGTACTGCAAGGTACCATACCACAAAGGGAAGGCTGGGATTGAGTTTGGGGGTGATGAATCATAAGGGGGTTCAAAAAATTGGGGGGGGATTTTTTTTTTTTTCCTTTTTTTTTTCTTTTAAAATTTTCCATTTTAAGTTGGTTATTTCTGATTTATATTTAAAAGCAAATAATAATGATATGGTAGGAGATACACACCAAACAGGATGTGTAAATTATTATATAATAAGTATTGTGCAATAGCAAGAAATTTTCAATTGCACAGTATTGCACAATAGCAAGAAATCTTCAATTGCACAGTATTGCGCAATAGCAAGAAATCTTCAATTGCACAGTATTGCGCAATAGCAAGAAATATCCAATAGCACAATATTGCGCAATAGCAAGAAATTGTCAATTGTGCAGTATTGCGCAATAGCAAGAAATATTCAATTGCACAGTATTGTGCAAAAGAAGATACTTCGTATAAATTGCTTATTTCTTGACCAATTTCAATGGGGTTTTATTCTTGAATTCTTGGGGTTCTTTAATATGCTGAATCTAACCGTGTATTAAGTTTTTGGATTTTGGGCCCCATTTTTAAATTGGTCCACATTGAGGTCCAAAGGGTCCAAAATTAAACTTTGTTTGATTTCATCAAAAATTGAATTATTGGGGTTCTTTGATATGCCGAATCTAACCGTGTATTTAGATTCTTAATTTTTGGTTCCGTTTTCAAATTGGTCTACATTAAGGTCCAAAGGGTCCAAAATTAAACTAAGTTTGATTTTAACAAAAATTGAATTCTTAGGGTTCTTTGATATGCTGAATCTAAACATGTATTTAGATTTTTGATTATGGGCCCAGTTTTCAAGTTGGTCCAAATAGGGGTCCAAAATTAAACTTTGTTTGATTTCAACAAAAATTGAATATATGGGGTTATTTGATATGCTGAATCTAACCATGTATTTAGATTTTTGATTTTTGGGCCCCGTTATCAACTTTGTCCACATTGAGGTCAAAAGGGTCCAAAATTAAACTTTGTTTGATTTCATCAAAAATTGAATTCTTGGGGTTCTTTGATATGCTGAATTTAACCATGTATTTAGATTTTGGATATTGGACCATAATAGGTGAATGTCCAATTTAAAATTTTTAAGTTCTTAGACCACATTCATTCTGTGTCAGAAACCTATGCTGTATTTAATCACAATCCAAATTCAGAGCTGTATCAAACTTGAATGTTGTGTCCATACTTGCCCCAACTGTTCAGGGTTCGACACCTCCGGTCGTATCAAGCTGCGCCCTGCGGAGCATTTTATTTAAAGAAGAAATTACGATTTATAGTTTTTTATGTGCAAGTAAGAGAACATTTTTCATCTCGGATATATTGCAAGAATAAGAATAAGAAAAAAAAGGAAATGTAAATACACATCTGTAATTTCATCGCAGAAAAGTTTTTACTTGAAGTTAAGAGGTAGAATTGAACAATGTTCCTGCCATCCCAGGGAAATTGATCAGATTTTAGATAAAGCAATAGGTTTCAACTTTGATATCAGAAGAAGCTGATGACAAAAACAAATTTCTTTTTGAAAACTTTATTCTTGTTTCCATGAAATTAAACAAGAAAAATATTGTAAAGCTTATGTGTATTGACTAACTCATACACTGAATTGAAAAAAATTTCATTTCCTCTGCAAAAATTCAATTATTGTTCAATTTTAAAATCTTCAAAGTAATTTGATGTTTAGTAAATAGAAATGAATTCTTAGTAGAACAAATCACCAAGATCTCACATAAAACGTTCTTGATATTGAAGTTGCACATTTTGTGTGTGGTTGTAAATATATGTACATATAGCTGGTTGCCTTATATTTATGACTAGATTTTGATGTATATTTATAGATATGTAATATTATGTTAATGAGATTTTTATTATACCAGTGATGTTTTGTTTACAATTCCATTTGCTAGATGAAACTAGATCTCTTCATTTTAGTTCAATTATTTCTCTATTAGTAAATTTTCACCAGTGTAGAATATTCAATCTTATCAGAATTTAGTTCTTTCTTCATCAAATTCCTTTTTTAAAAAATCAGTTAACTTCGTACAGAACTTGTTTTTGAATGCTTGGAATAAAGTTTTTATGCCCCACCTACGATAGTAGAGGAGCATTATATTTTTCGGTCTGTGCGTCCGTTCGTTCGTTCGTCAGTCTGTCCCGCTTCAGGTTAAAGTTTTTGATAAAGGTAGTTTTTGATGAATTTGAAGTCCAATCAACTTGAAACTTAGTACACATGTTCCCTATGATACGATCTTTCTAATTTTAATGCCAAATTAGAGTTTTGACCCAAATTTCACGGTCCACTGAACATAGAAAATGATAGTGCGAGTGGGGCATCCGTGTACTATGGACACATTCTTGTTTAAAAATTATGAAGGTTTTAAAACTACTTCTGCTTCATACTAAATCATTAAAATGTTGTTGGCAAGTTTCATTCTAGCTTTGTATAATTATCTGTTTGTTTTAACAGTTTTTAGCATTATCAGTATTTTATTAGTTTCAAACAAGATACATGTAGATAACTTATCCTTTTTGTGTGATTATTTTTTTTTTTATTATTTTTAAAAAGAGTTTGTTTCTTAAACATGTACTAAGATAGCATATTTAAGGGAATTAACAAAAGGATATAAATGTATAAAAATTTTCTCTTGAGCTGATGAACCAAGCCAATAAGAAGGAAGAAAAATTCCTGTTATGATTGGCCGATCAATATGGCTTCCATCTGAAACTTTGTTTTATATTGAATACAATAAAATGGAAAAATATGAGGAAACTTTTATTGAATAATTGCTTTTCTGTCAGATGTTTGGATGGAGTGGAGAGTAAATTAATTTCATACTAAATTCAAAATGAAAGGGATAAAAAAAGTTCTGAGCAATGGTGTTGACTTGGTGTCATTAATCAATACAGAAAAAAATATTTAATTTTATACATTAAGTGAAAACCAGATACTTTTTAAATGACCCTATATAATTCACATACATACATTTATTTGGAGACAGTATCTTTCTAAAACAAACTCTGAAATGTCCTCAACAGTTAACATTTCAGTTTACAGCAGATTCCATTGAGTGTGTAGCCAAAGGTAATATCTTTGGTTAGCTTGCTTGTTAGCTGAACCGTGAAGTCATTGTTAGGTTAGGTAAACTACCCTACTTTAAGAATAGACTAGTCCGACAGTAAACCAATCGATCTGTCTGTTGGACTATGCTACTTTGAAAGGAGGGTAGTATACCTGACCCAATAATGACTTCACGGTTCAGCTAACAAGCAAGCTAACCAAAGATATTACCTTTCACTACACACTCAATGGAATCTGCTGTAACTGAATGCACTAGATGAATTTGTTTCTTATTTATATAATGTAGTTTAGTCTCTTTTGTTTTGTTTTTGTTAAATATTATTTTGGGTTTTTTTTATGCAGCTTTTGTTTTCAAGAACTTGAGTGTATATGTGGATAAACAAAATACATAATTTTTGTTTTTGACCTTATCTTCATAAAGTTTAGAATAAAAAAAAGTTCTTTATACACTTGAAAGAATCTTCATTTTAGACCAGTAAAACTATGTTTACTTCAGAAAGGTTTATAAATGTTATATCTCAATTTCTTTTTTTAATTTGAAATCCACATTATGTATCAAGAAAGAAAATATTTGACATTGATTTTTTATTAAGGCATTTTATATTTATATTTTTACAAATAATCCAAATGTGGCTGTAATAAAAATATTCCTAGATGCCCCCAATCTCATTAATTTATGTAATATTTTTGACATTTAAAGGGAAAAGACCTTAGTTTTCAACTAGGAAACTGTCCATTTGTATATCAGAAATTTGTTGGTTTTTTATCTTAAAGATGACTGTCTGGTTTAATTTCAATGGAAAATGTAATAAGAATCTAGTAATATTTTTATTGTGGCCATATATGACTATTTGAACTAATAATCCTCTGACATTCAAAAATGAGATTATGGAAAGACACTTAAAAAAAAAAAAATTTGATATTTTTATTTGCTATCAAATGTTGTATTTGGTTTTAGAAAATGCCATTTTGTGGTTTTTTTTAAGGACATTATACTTTTTGTGAATACAACTTCAATATCATATATATCAAATAAAAAAAGAGATAGTTTAAATATAAACATGTGTGAGAAAGTATGGCATGTTTTTTCCAAATTGTCTTGCATTGAAAAATATTTGGAATTTTTTGTCTTAGAATTTTCGTACAGAGTTTTATTTTTGAATGATGTGTATAGGCAGCAGTAGACTAGTCATTGTCAGTATTATGTTCACATTGTGTATTAGCTGATGATTAGAGACCAAAACTTACTCTGATAATAGATTTTAAAGACTTGGATAGATAACTAAAAGTATGACATTACATGTTTTCAAGATGGTGCTGTATCTTTACATTTACCGGTTCTTTAATGTTTATTAAGTGCTTGTAAAAGAATAGAATTTTACAACACTTAAGTGGAATTTGTTTGGGAGTCCGTGTACAATTTATAAGTCTGTTATTTAAATTTTTGAGCCAGCTTACAGTTTTTTTCACAATTATTCTAAGTATCACCATGTAGTAAAGTACCTCCATTGGTATCCTGGATCTAAAACTTTTCCCCGTATTGGCTAAAAATTCAATGTAATTATTTTATTTTGAAATGTCCTCAGTCACCTTTAAAAAAAAGATTTATACCCTTTAAAACTTTAGCAGTGGACAAAATGGATACCCTTCAAAACTTTTAACAGTGCACAAATTGGAATTTAATAAGCACTGTTATTATACACTTAGAAAAATATATTTTGAGCATTTATATTTATAATTGTTCATCATTCGTTTGTATTTTTTTTTAAATTAGATATATAAAGTTGACTAGGTTTCACACTTAAAGGACTTAAGTTATGTTGAGCATAGTATATGTCCATTTCTCAGAACCTTATGGCATTAAATGTAATAATATTATCACTATACTTATTTGGAATTTGTATTGTACACTGTTGTTAAGCAACATACTGTTACCCAATTTCTCATGTTTAAGTTGGTGGCAACTATGTTTTATAGTCTTCATAGTAGGAAAACCTCTTTTAAGATTTGGAAGTAGGGTAAATGGCCTTGTAAGCAGCATGTTTTTGTTATCATTGAATAGTTTTGTTTGTGATTTGTATTGGTGCAGTTCAGTTTTTTGATAAGTTACCTATGTTCACAATTATGTAATAGTTAAATGATAAGACAAGCAGATTTTGGTTGAAACATAGAAACACTGGCTTATTTATTGATATGATAAACATTGCTTTATTGCATTTGATGAATATTTGGAATTTGTAGAAGTGCAGCTTGTTTTAAAGAAAATTTATTTGTGTTTATAACAATGTCATACTATAAATATTAGAGAAACTGCATTGTGAAAAAAAATTCTTGATTTGCCAGTTAAGGTCTTAAGACGGAATGTTTTTGTAAGTGATGCAATACACGTATAATGTGCACAAAACATTATTTGAATATTCTTAAATATTACCTGCAGATTTAGAAAAATAAAAAAGTTATTAGATAAGTAAAAGGTGATGATGGTTTTTCTTTTAATAAAAAAAATAAATTTACTATGGTTTTGGAATCTACTGTGACAGTTTTAAAAGTTTTATGAAATGAAACCTACATCATTTTCATTTGTTATCTATGAGCACACCACCAGAATTAGAAGTGCTCACTGAAAACACAATTTATAACCAAAGAATTTATTTACATGTTTCTGGTCTTGTGATTTATTCCCCAAAAGCATTCATTATAATCAGATTATCTTTAATCAGAATCTGTTCTGCTAAAGCAAGGTCAAAGTACTGCTTAAGCAAAGGTCAAAGTACAAATGCATCAGTTAATTATTATTTTGTGTAAATTGTTTTGTTATATTGAAGTATGTTATTTGTTGAATATATATCTTTTTTTAAATTGTGATTAATAAACTTGTTATATGTAGAATCTATTTTCAAGGTACTGCTCATAGGTTGTAATTATCAAATTTTGTAATAAAAAAATTACAGATAATGCTATCTGCCATATTTAAAAGTACATTTTTTTTTTATTTCTATAGACCAATCTCAAATTGGTTTATTTTATGAATGAGTTACACTGGTTGACCCAAAATGACGTCAATGAAAAATCTGTTCTTCCTAGGATGTAATAACATAAGAATTGTGACCTAAGAAAAGTACAAAATATGCATGCATTTGAAAATTTCCTATGGAGGAAGGTGAAATTTTTAATGTTATTTAATTTAAATTATTGTTCAATACTAAATACTAAGCATTCATTGTCATTTTAACAAATTTTATAAAGGACAATTTTTTATGTAAGTAGTAATTGAATCTGATTGTGGAAATAAAAATTTGAAATTGAAAAAGAAAAAGAACATGAAATACAGATATTGCTATTTGCCATATTTAAAAGTATCTATTTTTAAAACTATGGAGGAGGGTGGAATTCTAAATTTTCATTATAGGGTTCACAACAAGGGGACTCAATTAAATTATTCAATCCTGAATACTAAATGTTAACAAATTTTGTAAAGGGAAAGCACAAGTAATTGAATCTAATTGTGGAAATAACCTAAAAGTGTCCTTGGAATAAGCTGCTTAGATTTGTTTTGCCTACGTCTAACATTTGTTTGTGGTTTTTTTTTACATTATTTAATATAAGAATACGGAAATATAATTTTGAAAGAGCTTATTACTGTGTAAACTCAACCAACCCACTCACAAACCTACCATCTGGACAGTACCTTGAATAAAGAATAATTAAGTGCAGCAGATGCCATTTTAATATTGTTTTCATCAAATTTTTTATGACGGAATCTCATGCCATTTTTGCCACATTACAAATTCATTGCAGTCTGAAGAATTTTATCAGATAAACTTCTACTGTTAATTGTCATGATTTTTCTCATTTATTTTGCTTGTGATGAATATCATAGAATTTGAGACATAAATATTACATTTCTTCAATGATAAAAATAAATATAAATGTTGTGTTTGGTTAATTTTAGAATGAGTACTTGGTCAATATAATCAGTAATTTGTTGTTTATTTATTTAGCCATCAATGCTTTTTGATGTCAGACATACCCCCTTATCTACAATTTAGTGGATATGTAATATGGACATACTGGAATTTACAGTTTTAAATATTCGGATTTGATGTGTCAAGAAAATTTATTAAATATTAGAAATATTATACTTCTGATGATATTTGATATGTTGATGGATAAGCATCCATGCATCTTCTCAGTTTTAAATGAACATTCGTATGTAACCCTTTTGTCAACCTACAGTCACTTAGTTTGTTGTTTTTTTTTTTGGTGCCGAAATGTTAAGCAAATGTTAAAGACTTTTAACCAGTGGGGTATTGTTAAGTTAGTGAATATTTCAATGTAAAAATAAATTCTTGTGATACCTGGTTAGTTATGTCCTTATTACTGAAATTTTTATATTGTATAAGAGACTATAGTTCCCATTTCCCAATTTCCAAGCAGAATATGAGACTGCAGTCCCTCACTTTTATTTAAGTGATTTTGAAATTATATTAGGCAAGGTTTCATGTTCCATTGAATACATTTTAAATGTATTCTTGTCAAAATGACTTGTGTTTTGTTTCTGTTTTTTTATTGTAATCACACTTGATATATATCTTGATTTAAGCTGTTATGTATTCTCATTTCTACCATTCAGCTTCTTTCTACTATATTAATTCTTTATTGATCTCTTCATTTCAATCTTTTTTACCTTTGAAAGTAGAAATTAGAGCTACTTAATTTATTTCAGGTCTAATTTTCCTATTTGCAGAGTACTATGTTTTATCTTTCTTTTAAAAGTGTGATATGTTTACTTACTGTTACAACTCAGTATCTCAGCAGACAGAAATTTGTCCAGTGTGCTTTAAAATCAAATTTTGGTGTCTTTATGTTAAGCATGCAACCAAAACATTCCTTTGTTTAGTATTTTTCCTCTGACCATTTTTGCTTGTAAGACCCAGCTAATGTTTTCAAGTTAGAAATTTGACCAA